CGTGCGAGGGTACTAATTCCGCCCGGAGATTTAACTAACTACACGCTTGTATGCGAATGGAAAATTGAAGCAAATTGTAGTTAACCGCCACTAATTTACGTAGTTCATTCCGTAAAACGTCTACGATTTTAAAGCATTTTGTTGTGTTTTTGGAACGGACAATATTTTTGTACTTATATATAGTTGAATTTTCGCTGTAACAAATTTATTGTTGAATTTGATAGTTGAAGGACATTGCCAATAAAAATTAACTTTGTCTATTTTAAAGAGACATTGGCCGTTTTCACACTAGCGTGAAAACGACCATTCAGTATATTGCAAAATTCTTCCACAGATTTGCTTTATCGTTCTTCGTTCTTCATACAATTCCACGACGATTACGATTCAATGCTTTGCGAACATAAAAACATATTCTTCTCGCGTTTATTACATAAGAGATGTTCTCCAAACCAAAAACAATAATACCCTTATTTGCGTTGTTTTAGTATTGAGTATTTTTGCCTATCGTGTCAGAAAAACTATTCGCTTAATGTCTGAGAGACAATTCTTCTTACCTTTGCAAAGTATAGCTATATTCTTCACGAAATGTTAGCTTGGCTGAAATGAAACCTTAACTGATCAACAGCGCAAAGTCGAGAACGCTTTGTAGAATCTCAGCGGATGTTGAAGTTCACGAATCACGACTTCCTTCAGCTAAATCCGATAATAATGTTCACAATATCTTTTAGGCTTCAGCCATACCGAATGGCTTTATATTAACAATCAAACCTAAACCTTCAAAGCTATAAAAGTTCATACTTTATCAGTATTTGGACTTATAATAACCTACTTTTTCGACGAAAGACGACTTAGTCGTCTTATGGAGTAAACACCGTAGCTTACCAAAATAGCTATAATTGCAGGATCGATGCCAAGAATATACAACAGTTTGCCATCAAATATACCTAGATCGGACGTTACCATTAGACAATTAATTTTTTAGGTCGTAATAATTGAAATAAATTACTATCATAAGATGACTGAAGTATGACGTTGATTTTCCACAACGTTTTAAAACTTTGTGTTTTAAATGTCGCTCTTGTCTTTCGTTGACTAGTATTATGAAAAAAATGTGTTGTGGGTAAAATATTAATTCATTTGTTGGCCTCAGAAACTCTCTTACCTTTGGATTCAGTTCAACCAATTTAATTTTTGAAATACTTGTATATGTTAGAGATGATCAGTCAAGAGATAATTTCAATTGACAACACAGTTCGCCAGATTTCATTTGTCTGATTTATGTTTCTTAGCGAAGCAATCGCTTGGGTGTAGTAAGTAGGATTGATATTTAACTGTTATTTACCGCGACCGAAGGCGTAGCCGAATGAAATATCGACGGTCGAGGATCCACAACATAATGCTTTCTGAGGTCTTTGTATTTCAATGAGAGCGTCAGCAATTTTCGTAAACTTTTTTGTAAAAGCGTTTCATAAACTTTGTGCAAAATAAAACGAGAACAAACAAAATATACGAAGCATGGTAGATAGCAAAGAATTAAGTTGAATTTTGATATCCAAAATGCACACTATACGTATAAAACGTTTAGTTGTCGACTGCACCACAAAATAAAATAACATTTGAGGTTTTTTCTTTGTCTCTGAAGATTTTGTACTCTTTTAATCGTTAATCGTTTGAAACTTCAATTTTAAACCATTACTTACAACCATTTGCAAGCTTCCATTAACCGCGCACTCGAAACAAAGTTTTGAAACGTTTGAATTAATAAGATTTTCAACGGAAACACATTTGTTTTGACATTCAAACGTTTTCTGGGAGGGGCCAAAACAATTAGTTTCGCGATCAAAACATCACACTTTTGCCTATAATTGTAACCAAAATTTGTAGCTTTGTTACGGAGTTTAAGATAAACAGACATGGTAGATATACACTGCAAAAAATGAAAGTCTAGGCCAGATTATTTATCTGATTTTAAGATTTTATTTCTCAAATCAAGATTCCACTCCTTATTTTAAGAAAATTATCTTGTAATAAGATCGTATATCTTGATGAGATCTGTAAAAATACCGATTTTTCTTAAATTAAGGTAAAAATTCTTGACTCAAGATACTTAATCTTGTTTTAAGAATATAAATCTCGCTTGAAGAAAAAAAAAAGCATTTATAGTTTTTGAAAGAAAGAATCCAATTCTTAAATCAAGAATTTATTTCTTATTTTCAGAAAGCTATCTTGTTTCAAGAACATTAGTCTTTATGTAAGGTGTTATTTCTTATTTCAAGAAAGCTATCTTGTTTTAAGATAATAAATCTTGGTACAGCGAGCTCAAAATTATTCAATTTCTTAAAACGAGTCATATTTTCTTTTAAAGAGATAATATATCTCTTTTTAAGAACATTAATCATGGTATAAATCCATATTTAAAGAAAGCTATCTTGTTTTAAGATATGTATTCTTATTTAACAGAGTTAAATTTATCTTGTTTAAGAAATTTGTTTTAAGAAAGTTTAACCAAGAAATTTGTCTTGTTTTAAGAAATTAAATCTTGGTCAATCGGAGCTTAACGACTAACTGTTTCTTAGACAAAGATAATTATTATTCATCTCGGTTTGATAACAAATCTAAAAAATGGCCTCTCCCGTGATGAATCAAGATGTTAAAGCTTGGTTCATCAGAGCTGCAAACGATTTATTTTAGGATGAGTTATTGTTTTTAGTCAAAGATGATTTATCTTGTCTTAAGAAAATATTATAGTCGATTCCTGAAGGAAAACAGTGTCAGTCTATGTCTCTTATGCCAAGAAAGCTATCTCAGCTTGTTTCGCAGCAAATACGTCTTCGTCTAACAACTGAGAGTCGACATGTATGCATTTCTTAAAACTAGTCACTGTTTCTTGGTCAATGAAAATTCAACTCGTTGCCATTAATACTTTGTGCCTGTTATAATTATTTGCATGGCTTTCTCAGCGTGTTAAATTTCTTCAAGTTATAAAAACTCTAAACTGTATTCATTTATACAAACATATGCACGTATTGAGCAAGGTTGCAAGCCATGCGTGATGTGTGGCACTGACAAAGGTGCAGTACTGCTCAAACCCCACTATATATGGAACAATTTCGCATTGGTCATTAATTTATGCAATAATATAATAATTTTAATATGTCAGTACTGTAAAACAAAAATAGTATGACAAGAACAAATGCATCAAAGTTAAAGGTGAAGTGTATAGAATCCAACATGAAACTGATACTATAATTCTATTGTACAAACCCAACTAATCTTAGATTACGCTTTGTGATCGAATGATCAATTTTATGCGACCTATACTAGCTGTATATAATAAACGATTTAACTACAGTATAGTTCTGTATCAGTTCAAAGTTAAAGTATATAATTGCATTTAGCGATGCAGGGGGTTCTCCCCAACAACATGAAGTCTTATTAGATCCCTCAGGTCATACTTAGTAGGAATGAAAGTGGAATCAAACTGTTTCAGTGTAGAATATACGTTAAAATCCAACATACTTGCGTATAAGCAGAACTTTGTTGGAACACCATCTCCAGGATCTTCAACCTCATAAGACAGAAGGCCATCGTTAAATTCAACTGTTTTCAAAGGTGTGTATTCAAATATAGTATCTTCATCTGCAAGCCAAATTCTCTGAATTCTTCCAAATTCGGGCAACATGCTGTAAAAAGTAGCATCAACTGCAATGATACAGCCCTTATTGGGAACATATTTTGTTCCGTGCAATTGAATCCACTTACATGTAAAAACGTTGGTCAAACTTTCAGGATTGGCGTAAAGCAAGCAGTCAGTAATTCGTTGAAAAAAGTGGGCTTTCAACATATCTGTCACCATACTGGATGGACCAATAACCTTTTCGGACTTAAATAACGGGTGTTGGCAGGGTGTTTGGGTTTCAAAGTCTGCACATTCATCAACCTGGCATCGCTCTGCTAAAGAGAGGCAAATGTTCTTGAAGTTCTGTAGTGGAGCCAGGTCTTTGAAATAACAGTGCCTGGCTTCAAAACGTAAACAACAGTGCCTTACAAGTGGACCAAGATACACAATTTGCTGCGGTATGTGGAGCATATAATGCATTTTGGGGGTAATATTCACACCTGGGAACACTTCCTTAAAGAGGATGAGGTTTGCTTCGATTAAAGTTTCCAATTCTTTAATAGTTTCAACACTGATGACTGGTGAAAAGCAGATCTGAACAATCAATGAAATCTGCAATATAAGCTGGTATTGCGGACAGTCATTAGCAACGAAGTTCTTCAAACAAATGGGCAAATACTTCAAGAAGATTCTAGCATGTTCAGCCGTTTGTTTCAGTTTATATTTCTCTTGGCCATTAAACACTGTTTCTCTTAAAGGCGGAGGACGGTTAGCTTCATCTTGGTACCCAAGCTTAAGTTGGCAAAACGTACTGTTCAATTGTTGCAATGTTATAGATCCATTATCAATAAAATATTGCAATGCATAGCGGACTTCGTATTGAACAGACCCTTCCAAAAGGACATGCATTATGTCTTGGGGAAGCTGTTTCGTTATGTCAAATTGAGGTAAGCGGCTCAATACACTTCTTTCGTTAATTCCATATGTGGTCACCAGATTTTTCCTGCTTTCTTCTGTTGGAGCTGTTTCAATATCTTCGCAGTGTTGACGATACTGGACTAAGTTTCTTTCAGTAAAACAGCTAGCCCTGAAATTCTCTTGCATGCTTAGAAATGTACATAAACAATTTCGACATTTCTGGTGAGAAAAACCAACCTTTACTTTGAATCCTCCCACAGGTGCTGCCCTTCGGTGTCACCAAGGCAACTGACTACGCCACCAAACAACTCCATAAAATTTCCACCTACCACAAATGTATAGCCATTTGCCAGTGTATGTAGGTCATTAATTATTGGGGTTAAAATCTTATTCTGACCGTACATTGAAACATCTTTAGCCTTCACAATAGCCAGTAGCCGAATGGCACAAGCTTTGACCTATATTTGGGGCCAATGTTTCCAAGTGTATAATAATAAAGATCGATTTTGTGCTTGCCTACATGTGTGCCCAACGGATTGCAGACTTCAATCTCATCATGGTAAAGAATAATTATTAATCCATTTGGGTGCTCTATGAAGATTCTATTGTGCTTTATACATTCACCGTCACAAATGTCAAATAAAAAACCTTCTTTGCATACTTGGCGTGGTGCGGTTATAACATCTGCTATCTTTGAATTTGACAAGAGTTGCTGTAGACTATCAAGAATGGGAATATACACCATTGTGTCATCTTGTTCACAAATAAGACGCTTTGAGCCCTTGTTTTTATATGTGATTCTAGTGGACAGGACATATTGGATTGGTTTGATAAAGTTGACGCTGCTTTCCAAAAATGAAGACTGCAAGTAAGTTGTTTTAAGTTTGCTAAATGGGTCCTCGAAAGAATTGAAAATTTCTTCAACGGATTCCTCAGTCAATTTGTCAGCACCGTTTTCTACACAATTCAATACCTTTTGTTTTAGGTGTTCTTTTACTTGCTCAATTAAGTTGCTAGTACTTTCCACAATCCCATTCAACATTACCTATTTTTAAAGAGAAAATATGATAATAAATAACTATATGTAACACTGTAGAACATGATTTTATATGACAACTTGTGCAAAAAGGGATAAATATTTAGGACTTTTTAATAATGCTGAGATACAAATTAGTCAACCTGGAGAGTTATGTTCAAGTACGTTGAATTTAGCGACTAAACTAAATTTTCAAGGATAGCCCGAACTGTAATGATGAATCTTTTGACATTTGGTAACTCTCTTTTGTAACATTATGAAATATTATTTTCAGGTCCATGTTCAGGTTATTAAATTTTACTAAAAGTTTGTCATTTCTCATGGGTATTGTAGCTTGTCCACAAACTAGTATGTTAACAATAATAACAGCATAATTGAGTTATGCCATATACTGTATAACTCCATCATGTCGTTTAAATTAAAAGGCAACATTGCAGGAATTGCTAAATTAGGTGTAATTAGTTTGAGGAAATTGGGAATTATTTATAGGTACTGTTTGAACTTACACTGTAGCTTGCTGTAATTATAGTGCTGCTGTAAAACTGTAAGGTGCAACAATTGTTTATCCTATTTTTTTCTGTATTTCTGTATTGCCTATTCCAATATTATTTCTTTCTTCCTGTGTCTATCTTTTTTAAGGCATACTCAAGCTGGCAAATATAAGTAAAAAGGGGTAAAAATATATTACTATTTAACTATAAATATATAACAGAAATGTTACATTGATATTAAATGGACTTGCAGTGTTATACCAACAATTAACGTTTTGATTCAAAAGAAGCCTTTCATACCTTTGGTATCTTAGACCGTGCTTGAAGTTTAAGCAAGAACTGAGCAGAACATTGCTTGAGGTCTACAGCTTTATCAGTTTGATTGACATCAACCTAGTAAATGTGCAGTTATTGAGTAAGAATATACAAAAAGTTAAGGTAAGGAAATAAGCATACATGTATGCTGCAGAATTTATCCTACAGTACCCTGTAGATTTTAGAATTGCAAACTCCATAATTCATGGTCTCTCTTAATTCAGTTTTTCATACTCAGGCATATTAATGAAATGGGGATCCAGCTTAATTTCCTATACATATGGTCCCTATTTGCTGAGCTAAAAACAAGGTTTCAAAAAAAGTCGAACAAATTCATTTTAGTATGCAAAAATGACATCAATTACCACAGGGATAAGAATTGGGGAAAGGACTAAATGAGTAAATGTGGTAAAATGGTAAAATGTGCCCTTCTGAAAACATGCCAAAATATGTAAAATATGTTTATAAATTAGCCTGCATTCATGAAATGGAAAACCCCTATTAAAATGCATGAACACCTGTGAACTTACTGTACCTCAACAGTTGGGTTGTCATCCTCGCTATCAGTATCAGTCGACGTTTCCGAAGAGTTGTTGCTACTCATTTCAAGTGTATGGTTGTCTCCCTGACTGTCGTTTGGCAGCAAATTGGATGTCTCCGCAGCAGACATTTCCTCCTCGTGTTTCCGATGAATGTGTCTTCGGAAAGAATTCATTTTATTATACTGCTCTGGCCTCTGGGCATCCATTGATTCCACATTTAATCTTAAAATTTGGATGGGATGCATGTTGCAAAGTAATATGCCTTAACAAGGCCTTCAGCGTCAGTGCTGAGAAAACAAAACAAATACTACATAACCACACGTTCGACATATTTAGTTAATTTTCCAGCCACAGTTCAACGCAAGAAATGAAATGCCATGATTTGTATTTGGCGCGAAGCCGCGAGCAGTGGCTATAACAGCCATCACTCAAAAATACTCGGGAAATGTCGGACATGCTTCGTGACCCGCTTCGTGACGTGTACAAAATCACGCCACTAACAGTGTCGCCATCCCCTTTTTAAACTGAGCGGTTGGTGTGAGAATATCACTGGAAAATATACATTATTCAACGTTTAATCCTTTGTAATCCGACCCTTTAAAGGAAATTTAAGAAGGTAAATATTTGACCTTTTGTTAATATTAAAAGTAGTCTTTTATAGTCAAGTGTATTCAACACCGAATTACGAATGTTTATTGAGATTTGAGAATGAACGCTATAAAAGTCGCACGCTGGAGCCGGATCGGAACATTCAAGTATTGTCAAAAAAACAAAAGAACGGTAACTCCGAAAAGCATTTTGTATAATACTGACGACGACTAAAGTGCAGTCGAAACGTGGATTCATTAAAGCTACAAAATGTATTTTCGGAGTTACTGCTCTTTTGAATTTTATAAACATGCTCAGTGGTTCGTGTACTTATATATTTTCATGTTCCATGTATTTTGCGGTGTTCAACATTTAAATGAGCTGCCAAATTCCAATATCACAGTTAGTTTACTGTTCCAGAATGTAATGATAGTAATGTACATTTGAAGTTCCAAAAACTGCGATATTTGGCATCCTTTTATTCTAGCTTTTGTATTTTTTTAGGGTTGGGGATAAAAACAACTCCCGTAGGAATAGCGCGAATCGATTACAGGTAAAATGGTAGCGACTTCGTATTATTTTCTAGTCCTATTTAGCCAATTTAAACTACCTGGAGCAGAAAATTTTATTAGGAATTTTTGTTTCGAGTTCGTCAGATACTACTTTTCAAATACTGGAATATGGCAAAAATACTGATTTTCTAAACTTTTTTTGTACAGGGCCAAGCATGTCAATGGAAGACATAAGGAAACTGGACATCGAGGCTTATGATATACTTCAAGGTACTGCAGAATAGAAGTTGTTAATTGTCTCCCTATTTAATAACTCCCTATTTTGCTCTTGTCTGGCCGACACTCATTCATAACCCCCAAACCTGTGGCTGCCATCCTGGATCGACTGCTCAGTTTAAAAAGTATTTGCATGAGAGTTAAAAAGTATATTTTGTTCTTGAGCTAGGATCCTATTCCAGCTCAGCAGAAATTGGCTCAGCACAAAATAGAAACATCTTCAAGTAATCCGTTGTAATTTAATCCGGGGAAAAAATCAATAAAATACTCTACACCAGCTCATATTAATTTGAAAATGTTATATAGTTTAGACGTACTTGGGAAAATTTCTGTAGTATTATGGGAGTATTAAACCATACTGTAGGTATGTTTCACTTCTGTGATACAAGCAGCTGCAACTCATGCAATAAAATCCTTGTACTTTTGGTGTGATTTTGCATTTAGTTATACTTATCATGCAGTATGTACTGGGAAATCAATTACCATTTTTATCACTTCATTGAATTAATTAAGGCTAATTTCTAGGGGGTTAATGGGTCTTTTGAGTGGAAATCACACTCATATCAAATTCATAATCATACTTTTATTAATTTGCTAGATGCCAGTGTTAATGAAGATATGTTAATGGATTTCAGTCGGGATGATCTAAAAGACTTGTTTGCCGGTGCAGATAAATTTTTGTTGAGAAAAAAGATTTGGAATATTATTGAGAAAGCTGTAAGCTACATTCAAAGTAAAATTATATATTTTTGTTTCATAAGCATGCACTGCATCAAAGTAAAGTTAATTAATCTATTTTTGTTCCTCGAAGAAAAATTATCAGTTTTTCAATGTAATTCTTGTTATCAGCTTGCAAATTAACCGCTTGAAGTTATTCATAGAATAGCTGTCTAACGTACAAAAATTGCTATCTGAATATAATTTTTAGAGAGGATGTAAAGAAAAAATGTTAGAGTCTCCTAACTCTGCAAAAGTAAAGATTAATCAAACCCCAGTGGTAAATCCTCAAACTCCTCCTGTACAAAAACATTTGGGAATTTCGCAGTCACAACTATTGCGTTCACCTTCTTCCTGGTTGGAGAGTCCCCCTAGCCCTGCAAGTGTTGACCTAACTTCAAGTCAGGTGATTACCCCAGCACCTTCTCCGGCCTTTGTTGTATATACAGATAACGAAATTGTCTGTTCAGCCAAGACTGGTGATATTTCGCAAGATCTGTTTAATAGATTGATACGAAATACTGTGTCAAATATGCGATCAGCCTGTCATAGTTTACCTGTACCAAGGGAGCCAACATCCCTGGAAATGGGAGAAATGGCCAAGGTTCTATGTCAAAAGTATCCCTGTTTAGAAAGAGCTTCAGAGTTGACAGGAAGTGAAAGCGGTCATGTAAGTTAGACAGATTAAAAATTTAAAAGTGCAAAATAAAATTGGAAGAGGGGGGAGTTCCATGCCACAAGCAAATGGTTCATAGTAATATAGTTAGCTTCTGGTAGAAACTTTCTGTCAATTTTTAGATAATTATTTTTATTTTACATAATTAAGTTATTCATGAAGGAGTTGTTTACCCACCTAAACCTATCTATTACTATGAGCGACTCCTGCCTAGCTACTATATAGTTTGCCGATTATACTGAGATAAATGTTGTTTTTAATTTTGTAGCTTTTTGTGTTGTCCAAAATTAAAAAACGTCTTGGAAATGTTGTCCCAGCTAAGAAAAGGCAAGGAAAAGTGCCTGCGAGATCAAATAAACGTATTAAATTAGACATGCCTGAACTTGGTAAGTTAATATATAACCTATTTGTTTGTCAGAGTAACCCATATGCATGTCATCGTCATTTGATAAAGTTGGAAAACTTACTAGTACATGCAATGAAACAGCTCTTGGGGCCTGAAATTACAGTAGCAGTATTCTGCTAAAAGATGAATTTGCAAACTATGGGTTGCCAGGGGGGCATTGATCCCCTAGCCTAGACCAGGAAGGGTGCAGGTTTGGGTATAAATTCAAATTTTGGGGGATTATGTACGAAAATCAGAGCTTAAATGATGTATTTTGGTGTATTTGAGAGTTTCACAGGCTCTGACAATCTGGTAGCACCTTATCCTCCAATTTATATATAAATTTCTAATATCCTAATATCCCTGACAACTGGTGCTTGTACCTCAACCCATGTCCAGCACTTGTCTGCACACCCCCCCCCCCCCTACAAAATCGCTCTGGATCCATCCTGGTTCTACTTTTGCACTCACAGCATAATATAAGAGGATTGATGTGCCATGATTTGCCCTATGTTATTATGACTTTCCCTGTGTTGTACTGGCATCTAATGGGTTAAATTGCCTAACTGCCCTTGTGGCTGGTGAATGCTTTGCAATTAATGTATTGGACCCCATAGTAGAACCTGTTACACTAGTCATTACCGCATGTACAGTATATCCTGAAATTTTTAAATGCTTAAAAGCATTTAATGCAACATTTTTGTGATTTCCTTAAGTTTACACTATATGCGTCAGTCCACCACTGTGAAACTCCTTTCTTATGATAATTAAAAAAAAATGAAAAAAAAACACAAAGCATATAATTTCCGATTATTGTCCACAGTATAAAAGCATGAAAAGTCAAGTTATTCAATTCAGTATAACACTCATTATTTAGGTGATTCGAGTGATCCTTTGAAAAAAGGGTCAGAGAGTGAATCATCATCTACTGAGACAACAGACGGATCTAATGAAGACACCGGTCTTTGCGCAAGGCATTACAGTGCATTAGAGAGAGAACAAAGGAAGTGTAAACCTAACCCAAAGGTGATTAACAAATATTTGAATCTAGAGTTCTCGTCTAGAAGGCAATTGATTCAAGAGACGAAGAAAGATGAGAGGCCAAGCAAAATACTGGAGCTCTACTAATGTTTTAAAGATCCTAATGAGGTAAATGTAGTTGCAGAAATGTATCTTAGCCTGTTGTCCAGGTTTGAATACACATGACATTTGTGTTGCTGAAAATATTTGTTAACCATTTAATTAATTGTGCAAATCCGTATTAAATGTTTTGCATCCATTAATGTTTCGTCTAAAAGATAATATAAAAAAAATATTGCCTGTTTTGAAATATACAGTACATGTTTTTGCTTTGCAGGTTGTTGAAGAAGTAAGACGATGTCTGAAATTGAAGGAGACTGGTAATCCTGAATCGTACATGACTAGCCGTGTCAGTCTTCTGGAGAAGAAAGTCGATCAGATGATATACTACGGGATCTCAAAAAGTGCTATACAACCACCTATGAGCCAGTCAGTTGGTGAGTTGTTTGCATGTACTCTATTTATGTATGTTAATTCTATCCAACTCTACAAACGCTGCTTATTAATCCCTTGCCAGGAGGTCAGCAATTGAAAGGTGTCTGGTGCGTTAGCCACGGTGAAATGCTGAAGGCAATACTGCCAAATAAGGTTGTTAGTAAGGGTGGATTTCCACTTGTAGCGAAATAGTTCGCTTGCGAAATAGTTTAATATTTTGCTTTGAATTGAGAACAGTCAAGTTGAACTAATTGATTTATGCTGTTAAAATTCAAAAGAAAACACGCAAATATTTCGCTGCAAGTGGAAATCCACCCTTACAGCGTTAACACGTGTTAATTCTACTGTCAATTTTTATTATATTTTTCTTTAGACCAAAAGATAGTGCATTTGCTAAAGGGAATCCATGACATTTTTAAAGGAAAGCCTAAATCTAAGAAGCTTATCGTGCATGATTCAATTTTTATCCCGGAGGTAAAAGTTTACTCTATATAATTATAGTTATATTTCAGTGCTGTTTGTTTCGCCGGTAAAAAGCTCGTAATTTCCCCTTTAATATTCCCTATAGTCTTGTCTTAAGTTTTAGAAATGTATGTGTGAAATTTATAATGCCTGGTTTCGATGTAGACTTTTAATCAGGGACGAAACTAGAGCGTTAATTCGGGGTGGGGTTCATTTTCATATAATATTCTGTTCTGCCCGACGGATTTCTTTGAAAACACGTATTCGCACAAACGAATTCCGTTGGACAGAACAGAATGTATATGAGAATTCACCCTCTCCGAAGTAGAGCTCTAATTTCGCCCCTGCATTTAATTCTTGCAAATTAACATTGTTTGATTTCCTTTTTATAGGATAACGAACTTCCAGACGTGTGGCAGCAAACACGCCATGGTAATTCTCCGGGCCTAATAATGACGAAAGAAAACGGCGCAATGATTCTCTTTGGAAAGGATGTTTTCTTGCGCTTCGGGGATACGGAATTAGCGAAAGCGGTCGTAGCCTTCCTAGCTTCCTTCTACCTCCTAGATTTGGACTACCCTTTTAGGTCATTGGTACCATTTTCTGTCTTGCAGAAAATTATCTTCCAGGACAATCAAGTGCATCCCAGTTGTCAAGGCGAAGTTGCTAAAGTTCTAAAAGACTTTGAAATGTATCATGACCGAGCATAACGTTTTGTGGAGACGGCAAGTTCATATATACGCCAGTTTAGAACATTTTTACTACATATTATCTGAACTGTAGTAATTTTTTATTTTGTTTGCAACCCTAAGTTTGCGCTTTGAAATCACGTTTATGTAGAAATAAAAACGCACCTTATGAGCACATGCATGTCCAGCATGTTGTTTAAAATTGGATTTAGCCAAGAAACACGTGCAGTAAATTGCGTTTTTGCTCTATAAGAACATGATGTTAAAGCATTTGTTTTTGGTGTGGAACATAGTTTTTTTATGACCAAAACTTTATATGTTATTGTTTAAGAAGGGAAACCGCTCATTTATATTATTTAAGAAAAATTTCCCTTGTTCTTTCCTTTACAGCGTTTTTTAAAAATATTTTCTTGTGTATGCCACAGCGTAAAACAATAAGAAAAAATAATTTTATCTTGATTAACGATATTTTTCTGTAAATTAATAAGAAAAAAGAAATATTTTCGTGTGTATGAAACAATAAAGTATTATTTTCTTAGCAAGATTATTTATCTTGTTTGACCAGATTTTTCCCTTAAATCAAGAAAGCGTTTCTTAATAAGAATTATTTTCTTGCGTACGGGACAAAAAGTAGAATTTTCTTAGCAAGATTATTTATCTTGTTTGACCAGATTTTTTCCCTTAAAACAAGAAAGCGTTTCTTGGTAAGAATTATTTTCTTGCGTACGGGACAAAAAGTAGAATTTTCTTAGCAAGATTATTTATCTTGTTTGACCAGATTTTTTCCCTTAAAACAAGAAAGCGTTTCTTAGTAAGAATTATTTTCTTGCGTACGGGACAAAAAGTAAAATTTTCTTAACAAGATTATTTATCTTGTAACACAAGATAATTTGTCTTATTTTAAGAAAATATTTCTTCTTGCGAAAATCTAGACGAGAATAATTTTCTTACCCACGGGACAAGAAAATATTTCTTGATTCAAGAAATATTTTCTCAAAACAAGTTTTTTTTTCTTGTTTCAAGCATTTTATTTTTTGCAGTGTAGACATCTTATTGCTCAAGAATGGATTTACAATTAGTAAATTCCCCTAAAATTCTCTAAATAAAGATGAAAATTGCGAACGACGCAAATTTCATATTACAAAGTGTATCCCGATCAAAATTGATAACTTTACATCGTTCATAACCACCCCCATAAAACACTTTCACTTTAACAGTAAACATTTTCAGTTCAGACTTTGCATGTACTATGACATTGACATCTATGTGTGATATATAACACATATATCTGTAATATTCTCTATTCTATATTTTTGGCTACCTTCTTGATTGACTAGTGCTTAATATATATACTAATTGCACCTGTCAAATCACGGATATTTTCGTCACTTACGTAATTTTCATCTTTATTTAGAGAATTTTAGGGGAATTTACTAATTGTAAATCCATTCTTGAGCAATAAGATGTCTATATCTACCATGTCTGTTTATCTTAAACTCCGTAACAAAGCTACAAATTTTGGTTACAATTATAGGCAAAAGTGTGATGTTTTGATCGCGAAACTAATTGTTTTGGCCCCTCCCAGAAAACGTTTGAATGTCAAAACAAATGTGTTTCCGTTGAAAATCTCATTAATTCAAACGTTTCAAAACCTTGTTTCGAGTGCGCGGTTAATGGAAGCTTGCAAATGGTTGTAATCGCTGCCATGGCACAATTCAACAAAATTGAACCCACAATGTAGCTAAAAAACTATATAGCTTTATGATTATTTTTTGCACCGAAAGATGGAAACATTAGCTATAATATACCATGTAAAATATAATATTGGCTGATTCGAGTTTTTTGTCATTTCATAATACAAGTTTAGGTCAGTTTATTTCAGGAAATTGTGTACTATGTATTTCTAGTTTACAGCGCTAGCGCACAATACGAATGAATGTGAATTGTCCGCGTACATTGTTAAGAGAAGCATTGATTAGCAGTTTTTCTCTCATTTCTACATTTTCGATTGCGTGATGTTAGGCTTAAGCTCTCTTGGTTCCTGTGGTTTGTTTTGCACACACATATTTGCAAACAACGTTGTCTTTTAGCTTCTGGCCTTTCAGCGAAATTCCTTTTCCTGCTTTGGATACATTAGACCTTTGGCTGATGTGATGGAATATTTTTACGCGTCTGTACAGTTAACAATGACAGATTTTCGTGCAGAAATAAGGACAAATTTACATCTGGCTATTTCTCATCGTTGAAGATGACGTGCTCACGACATTGATGCTTTGTGAACTTGCATGCAAACGACCAACTTTTCTCTAAGAAAATTTAGACACATGCATGCAACAGCATTTAAATTGTTCATATTTTACAGTTGTGAATCTAGGACATTCCACTGTAGGTTTTATCATTAATACTTCCTGAAAGTATTAGGTTTTTTGTTGAATTTGAGCTTATCCCAAAAAAAATTCTCACCTGCAAATGTTACTATATCAAATTAAAAGACCAATTTTTTTAGCCTTTAAATATTTTAGTATATCATATCATTCTTAGAAGTTCGCAGATTTTGTTGTGATTTAAAGCCGAACTATTTTGGCGGCTATGCTATAGATGCATTTTATTTTAAATAATATAGCACTCTAACACCAAATCGCATCGAATTAATTATTGCCGTTCAGCTTATTTTTTGCAAAATTTGGCAAAAATGTTTTTAATGTAATATTATACATAAATTTTCATATTCATGCACTAGTGAATATATCATTCATATTCAACGGTGAATATCAATTCGCGGAAAAACTCTGTGTATGAAGAAAATGGCGGTAATAGGGTTGTTTGACTTTTTGTTTGTTTGAAATCAAGAAATTAATTAACGATTCTGACGTGAAAATCAACCGTATTCTCGACGAAAGACATACAGAAAAAACAAAAATATAATGTTAAAATACGTTTTACAGTAATTTTTTACGACTTCTTCGAGTACTTTTATTGGTTGATAGAAGTATTCCTATAGATGTGATTCGTACAGACAGCGATATATTTGTAACTTGGAGTGACTGTTTACAGTCGAGGGATAAAGTCCGTCTACGAAAAAAATTATGTAAAATTATGACGATCTTAAAACAATATGTGCTTAGATGAAATTCGAACTGTATATTTTGTGTAGAACCGCACGTCAATTAAAAAAAAGCCTGATTAAGATCTGTAAACCACTAAGTACACCATTTCTCATGAAGTCAACAGAGCAAAGCGGATAATATATTATTTTAATGTTTTATACAATCTCAGCGGATGTTGAAGTTCACGAGTCACGACTTCCTTCAGCTAGATCCGATAAAAATGTTCACAATATCATGCAGGCAGTAATGCATGATTCCATGGCCCAATTTTAAGATGAAGTCTTTCTTAGCTATTATGATGCTGAAAGTCAGGGATTACTTGTAGTTGATATAAATTGCAACATGTTTAAGTCACAGTAATAGCTACACGCAAATAATACACACACCAATAAAGAAATGTTAAGTACGTTATATAGTTAAGAGCAGTGGATTTAGGAGCAAACTAGATATTAATTTGTAAATATTGACAGCAACGTGCTTCCCTGCTGCAATGGTAGAACCAAAGCTTTTCAGAAATCCTTCTTATAGCTATATCTGCTAATCTACAGTTGAAGTATATTCGAAAACTTTCCAGAAATTCTTCTTATCTACAACGGAAATACTTGACATTCATGAATGTTCACTTTGGTCGCCTCCATGGTCGAAGGCAACTGATTGAGTAGCTATATTCATGAATATTTACAGCAGTGTTTTTTTATACAACACCCTGTAGACTGATGTGAACGTGAACCTTGACTAGTTTCAAGAAAGAACTCCACAACTAACAATAAATTGGCGTGACTATAACATCGAATATCTAAGAGCATGGAAGTCAATATTTCTGTCTTGTATCGTGTCTCTCAAACGTGTCTCGCGTCATTACCGCCAAAATGGTTAAACGCGTCATCATCATCATCAAATCATCATCATCATCATCATCATCATCATCATCATCATCATCATCATCATCATCATCATCATCATCATCATCATCATCATCATCATCATCATCATCATCATCATCATCATCATCATCATCATCATCATCATCATCATCATCATCATCATCATCATCATCATCATCATCATCATCATCATCATCATCATCATCATCATCATCATCATCATCATCATCATCATCATCATCATCATCATCATCATCATCATCATCATCATCATCATCATCATCATCATCATCATCATCATCATCATCATCAGTAAATTGAATCCGCGATAATAAAGTTTGATCGTGTGAATAAACCTGAAACCATTTCTTATTTCAATAGTAGTGCTATTGACTTGGAAAGTCAATAGAAACGATTAGAACAGTAAAAATTTTCAGAGACAAAGAAAAAACCCGGCTCAAATGTTATTTTATTCTGTAATTGCAGTTGACGGCTAAAAGTTTTATACTTTAATATAGTGTGTATTTTTAATATCAAAATTAAAATTGCACTTTCAAAAACGCTTTTTGAAGTGAAAGCAAAGGTGTAATAGCCTTTCACAGGTTTATGCGTTTGTATTAAAAGCCGAAAATTATACAAAGCTGAAAATTAAGCAAATAAACGACATACAAAGCTGAAAATCATACAAATACAGCTCATCTTTACCGCGAACTGAGCAAATACGAAATAAACAAAGTAAATATAAGTACCCTTTGAAGACACTTATATAAGCTTGCAGATTATGAGTTATTCGTTTTATATACATGCCTTTGACTTGACTATATCCATGTTCATCTTTGCTATCTGTCATGCTTCATAAAAATTCTATCTTGTTTCTTCTCGTTTTATTTTGCACAGTGTTATTTTGCATTATACAAATAATGAATGTTTTCCTTCGTGCAATGGTAAAAATATTTTCACGAGGTGAAAGATGGAATGTTCCATTCAACGAGGCGATAGCCGAGTTGAATGGAACATTCCATCTTTCACCAAGTGAAAATATTTTTACCATTGCACGAAGGAAAACATTCATTATTTGTGTTATATAATACCAAAATAGACTGTCTCGTTTCAAAAATATAATTTATTAAAAAACATACTGTATGGATCAACAACCATATGTGCGAGAAGCATTTTGGTGGATGGTATTTACTGAAAGCATTAAGAGTGCAATGTAACAAAATGTATAGTACAATTGCACTCTGGAGAGTGCAATGGAACGCTTTCCATTGCACTCTAGGGAAATGGGACTTTCTATTCAATATCACGTGATTGTCATCAACCAATTAAACGCTCTAAATTTAATGGGGTATTATATAAAAGTTTATGAAACGCTTTTACAAAAATATTTACGAAATGACAGTTAAATTGCTGACATTCTCATTGAAATCACTGTCTCAGCCAATCAAAACGTTTGTTGATTACCAGTCGTTACTCGCGCATGCGCATAAGTTACAAATCCACCCAACGTCCACCCAAATTCTAGCAGGCATTCTTCGATTGTCTTTGAACGGGACGAAAAAAGTGTATACATGGCATGCTAACTCGCGTATGTCAAGAAAGTGCTTTATCGAGGGCGCACTAGAGTATATTAGGTATATACTTTTTGACAACGAGCCTATGATTATTATCCCCACTAATTCCGGTGGGGGATTTATCACGCCTGAGTATTTTGACAGAACATAACCGAATCCCAAAATCTTCGTCCAAATTCTATGACATACACGGTCGACGTTGAATGGGTTTCTTAGATATGCGCATGCGCAAAATTTGAACCAGTGAAGATTGGTAATCAGCATTTAAATTATGTCATAATATAAGCTGGATTTGGCTAGCTCAGTTGTTTGGTTTCAATTAGCGAACTGTCACTGTGTGTCAGTTTCATATAGTGGGTGTATCAACTGTTTTCATATAGGGTGAGAAATGAAAACAGCCAGTGATGCGAATTTAATAAGACGTTGCGCAATTTCATATTATTATAAAGTTTTATTCTTTTTAGCTATACAGGGTTTATCAAAAAACTGCAACACTTAATATTCATATATGTTCGCTGCCATTCAATAACAAAAGATTGCAGGCCTCGATCTGGGTATTATGAGTGTTGCTTTCTTTATATACTCCGTAATTTATCAAACAATTATACCATTCGCTCTAGATCTCGTTCCCCACTTATCCGTCACCCCCGTTCCGGCTGATCTAGGTACTAAAATCAACCAATCAGAAGCCAGACACTCGACAAAACTTTTTCATTTCACATGACTTCTGCACTGGAAATTTTAAGTAATTTTATTATTTTCATGCCAAAAACGTTTGCTTTTCCCAACTGTAAATAAAGAATTAATTTTTTTACCTTTTATGGCATTAGATGGAAGAACAGGGACAAATAAGCTCACGCGCATGATAACTCAGTTTTGTCGAAGCGCCTCATGACGTCATAATCTCAGATCAGCTGGTTATTTAGCGTAATCAGGGCCGCCTTAACCTGTACTAATACTATTGAGGGTGGGAGGAAGCCTCTCCTTCTCCCACCTCCAGTGATAGCTTTTTGCCCCTGAAGGTCCCTTTCGAGTTTATGTATTAGCAAAGATAACAATGTTTAGAAGAAATAATAATAACTCAACAAACCTTACTCTGCAGAGATGGATTCGCCAGTAAGTATCCCCCAAAATGTAGGAAATCAAGTCATATAAAGACCAATAAACCAGAAAATGTTCTGGGAGAGATCTCTCAGACATACGAGCTCCACATGTTTAAATTGACAATTTCTAGTTAGGAAAATATGTTCATGCCCCCCGCTAACAATTGCTAAAAAAAGGCCCTGGTGTAATCACTGCCGTTTTTAACTCATACTAGCCGTAAAGCCAATATTGCAACTTATTATGTATTGGATTAGGAAACAAAAATCGATGAAATGATTTCTCGAAAAACCAAGCAAAATATATTTTCACAATGGCATTAATTAAAAACCTATACAACCAAATACAAAATTATTCTCACTGACTTACACACAACCTTCTAAGATCATGTTCAACAATAGATAACAACTTAAATAATTCTAAACCTAAATTTCCACCACTACTTTCATTGAGTGGTCTCTCCTCCACAACTTTGAAATGTCTCTTCATTCAGTTGAAGTCTCAGTATTTCAGAGCAGCTCGTTTCATTACGAGTGATCTGGGCAGAATACGCGATTGCCCGCGCTGTAAAAGCCAGTATTTTCAAGAACTATTCCACAAGTCTGAAAAAGATGAGAAGGAAATGAGATGCTATGGTTAACGTGGGTCTGCAGACGATGGAGAAGGATTTTTTTAGACTCTGCTAAAATATTTTGCGAATTTCTGGGCTGCCTATGGAGCTACAGTTCTTATAACTGCTAAGTTCTTATATATAACTACTCCCAGTTTGATTTATATGGCCCCAAAATTTGCGCACATCAGCCCCTTTTTAAAGGAACTTGATTGGCTTCCTGTTAAATTTCGGATTGAATTTAAGATTCTCTTATTAACCTTTCAAGTAATCCATGGACTAGCTCTCAGTATTTGCGTGATCTAATTCGAATCAAAAAACCGCCAAATTATTACCTACCGCCTCAGAAATCATTTTACTCAATCGGAGATAGAGCCTTCAAATTTGCAGCACCAAAGTTATGGAAATATGTTAACGGATTAAGTGGTTTAACATTTTGATCGAGTGATTTGAGTCAACCCGGGTTCAAAACAGGTTGGTTGCGTTACTTGCGTAGTGTAAACGGGGGTTAAGAATTCGAATTCGGTTCCGTTTTTACACTTAATGGGAATCTGTCAAAAGTCGACTGTGTCAAAACAAACTGATATTTAAGTAGACTTACCATACACCTAAAGCAGTCAGCATGCCATTTCTGATTGATAGCCTCCATCCAGCGATCACCGGCCCTGATGATCTGTTTACAAGAATAGCATTTCACGCAGAATAATTCTTTATAATCTTGACTGCAATATGGGTCACCATTTTCCACGTGAAAACCTTCACCTGCTAACTGCTTCCCACAGTGAGTGCACGTGAAGTGCTCTTGATGGTAGACCTTTCCTAATGCTTTTACACTTACCTAAATGAAAACAAATATTGAATATAAGAAGGTTTTGTCGGAAAATAAAACGTAACAACTTAATTCAAAAATTGAAGATACTTTTTAAACGATTGGGAAAAGATTTAAAGCATATATGCATGCATATGAAAAAGCTTAGCACAGTTTATAGTCATCTTTGTTTACGACATGAATTAACTGTCGTTCGTGTAATAGTTGATTCATTTAGACAGGGCGAAATATACACGAATATACATCCATGAGGAAGATTTTGGTTTCTGATTGGCAAAAATCTAATTGTATAAATGTAGCATGTTAAAGTCTGGTTCTCATCCATATTTATCAACGACAATAGATATCGCAATAAACACTTGCAAGCAAGATGGCTGCCTTTGGACATTATAAAATGGACATCTGTCCATTTTTTATCAATGTTCATATCGATGTTTTAATCCAAGATTACTTGAACTTACCCCAATAATTGGCTGATTACACGAAGCACACTTTGGAGCAAACCTTTGATTATAGCAGCTTTCGCAGTACATAAGCCCGCCCTCTTCGACAAATCCAACGTTCTGTAAGGACCGTTGACATCCACCACAGCAGAAGTGTTCGGGATGCCAGTTGCGACCAAGAGCACTTACAAATGGTCCCCTTTAAAAATAAACATACATTCAGAGGAAATGCAACATTATCCATTGTTCTCAGTGCATTCAACCAATTAGCCCCAATGGGCTACACGCGTAAAAACGCTCAGGTTGATGCAAGTTGATACAAACAGGATGGAGCAATGTTGTGCTGCCCACATTGTTCAGAGTTGTTATCAACATTGAACAATATTGTTGAAACTGAGTCGGGTGTAACAATATTGTTCAATGTTGATAACAACTCTGAACAATGTGGGTAGCACAGCATTGCTCCATCCTGTTTATATCAACTTCCATCAACCTGAGCGTTTTTACGCGTGTACCCTTAGCGTGTGTCGAACGCTTTTAACAAGCGATAATGAAGTACTTCATATGATTATCTTTTGTTTCAAATTCATTTATTAGGACCTTAATAGCATGCCGGACGGCAACACGACGGCAACGCGGTGTGTTATGGTAAAGCTAAATAAATGCTATGGTAAAGAGTTGTTGTTCAAGGCGGATCAAGGCGTTTTAACATTATATATATTTTTCCTTGCAACGTGCAATCCAGTTATAATTTTGTGGGATGTTAATTTGTAAAGAGTGTTCCAAATGCTAAGAAAACGTAGAAAACGTTAGCAGATCGTAATAAATGTTCGTATTTGACAACTATAGATGCCTTAGGAGTAGAATTGCATTGCAAGTTGCAAGGAAAGTAGTATAGTGTAACACAGATTTTATGAAAAATCGTATCAATTGAGATAGTTGGGTTTATGTATAGGAACAATTCTATAGAGCCTAATTCAAGGTAGCGCTTGTTACATCCTAAAATGCAGGTGTTCTCCAAAAAACGCGAAAATCGGAGATTTTCAGTTGCAAACAGAACGTGGAAGACGTCTAAAACTCTCATATAGGACTTTAATTATTCATTCATTTAAACGAACTATTGCACTCATAGCTGCTATTGTCGTGTTCCCGTTCTACATGTTTAAGGTTTGTAATAGATCGAACCTTAAAAGGCCCTGGCGGTTCGGCCAGACTGGTTAAATGATTTTTCCTAATTCATGTGTAATTAGCGGAATATTTTCCGCCCTCCGCGCTCAGCCCCAACTCCCATATAAAGTCCCAAAAGGCCCTGGTATTTTGCTTCCACTGTGAGATAGCGGCAAAAATGGCCGCAAATGGCAACTGGTTAAGCATGAAAAAACGCTGGTCGAAACAATAATTTTCTTCGGCTTTGGGGGTTTGTAATTAAGCACTGGTTCAAACTTCTCGCATAACTTGCTCCGATTCTAAGGGGGCGTAAACGAGACTAAACACATTTTAATAAACAATTCTAGAGATTATATTAATTGGCTTAAGTTTCATTAAATAAACTACAACCGCGCTTTTTACTATGTCTTCTATTCTAAGTTTCACCAATCCCTGAGCAATCGAATGCAACTGAATAATTATATGGTCTGTCGGGTTGAAAAATTCGACGTGGGCAGTAATAGCCAATCAGGTGAAATGAATTTTTCTACTTACTGGATAACTTCTCCACATTGTTCGCAACTTGGAGTACCAGGTTTTTTCTGAGCCGGCGCGCTGGGGCGTGGTGCTGCAGGCGCAGGCTGAGGAGGTGGACGAGATGCTGCGGGGGCCGGAGCTCCGCCATAGGAACTGGCCGGCTTGTTGTACGCGGGCGCACGTGGTGGTGATCCAGTGTGAACTGTGATTGTCTGGGGAGGTCTGCTGTGACTCGGAGGATTGTAGGGTTTAGGCGCGGTAATACGGGTTGAACTAGGAGGGTTAGGAGGTGGTTGACTTAGGGCACTGGGATGCTCCTCTATAAAAGAAGTCAAAAGTTATTTTTGCTGTGAATGTACTGACAATAGGGAGTTTCAGATGGCAGCACAAAAGAGAGTATAAAATATGATTAAATTTTTGTATTTGAAGTGCTTTGTATTTGTCTACACAAGCGACCTAGACTATGAAATAATAATTGTATTATTCTGTTGCAAAAGCAGAATGAGAACTCGATGAAATTGGCTACTTGAGACGTTACTTGTACGAGAATGGTTTTGCTACCGAGGTATGAAACAACAAAGGTTTCAAACTTGATAAACACGAGGCTGAGAAAATCATCCAGGATCAATTTGAAATGACAAGCATCGCAAGCAGTGGACAAAAAACAATTTAACCATACTTGGTAGCCCGTTGTCAACATCTTGAATTCCGTTTAGACTCAGAAATATCATTACAACACTGAACAGAAAACTTACAGCCATCCGCATTCCTCAACAAGTCTACACAATTTTTATTCTTAGCTATTTACTTGGCTCAAGCATATGCCAAATTTTTAAATAGGTAATGGTCATTTGTATCTGCTAGGTGTGATTTTGTATGAAAACTAAAATCTTTAGAACTTTTCGATGTATCCAAAAAGGTATTAAGTTTATTTAATTTTTATCCAATTGCATTTAATTTTGAAATACTTTTTTATGTTTCTTGACAAATAGAGTAATAAATATACTTATTACGGGCATCATTGAAAACTATAAACAAAATATTATTCTTGCTGGTGTTGCTTTTTTATATACCCGACATCACACCCGTGGCAAGGGCGAAAAGCTGAAAACTTTAATCACCGAGTTATATTTCCCTCGTTTTCTTTATTCTTATGCAATTCAATCAAATCAACTTACCACCAGAATTTATACTTTTCTCAAGCATCCGGAATGTCCGTGATTGAGGACCAGCTTCTTCTTCTTCTTCAAACGCCTCGGGGGGTGGGGGTGGCATGTCTGGCAAAAAGAAAACAACATTGGCTGGATTCGTGCCTAAATGCACAACTTATATGCACTACTTCTTCAGTTCTTGTCGCAAATGGGTTTTTAATTAATTAAAAGTTTTCGAATGAAAATCATACACATCTCAAATTTAAGCCCGATGCGATTGAGAGAAATTCATTAATTAACGTTACAAATGCATTAATCAAAGTTTCAAGATAAGAATACAATATAAATTGAAACCACGGCTTGCCAGTATATGGATAATAGGGGATGATTATGATAATATGGAATGAGTATTTTGTAGATAATTATGGATTATATACCGTCATCGTTGAAGTCAGAACCCATGCTGATCTTACGTCCCTGACCAGTACGACGCAGTCCAGTTGATTCTTCGGAAAGGTTGGAATTACGTAACATTTTTAAAACTTCGGAATCTTCTAAATTATCCTCTTTCTTTTCAACGGGAGGCGGCGCCGGCTTTCTAAAAAACAAACAAAAGAAATGACATTGGAGCCTCGATTACACAGCACTCAATTTATTGCCTGGCTTTATTTCTGAAAAGATGTGTTAATACCAAAGCCGCGTTGTCCAACGGCGTATACTGTTTCTTTTATAAGGAAAAGGTGTGATTTGCAAAGGTGTGTTTATGAAAGAAAGGCGTGGTTAGAAAAGGCGTGATTAGAAAAAGCGTGGTTAGAAAAGGTATGCTGATGGTCCATATTATTCAAAAGGCGTGTTATTGGAAAAGGTGTGCATATTATTACAAAATATTTGTTTCATGATGCATGCCGGTGTGATGCTCAAAGGTGTGCTAAATTTTAAAAGTGTTTTGTCAGACTTCGAACAGAAGGGGTTGTATGAAAAGGTGCGTTGCACATTACAACATATTTTTTATAACAACACACCTTCTGCGCGTGTTTGAAAGCTACGTTTACGTCTACACGGGATCGGGCAAATTGGAATCCAGCCGGAATTCGTCCTGCCCAGGTGTCACAAGGTAGAAATGCATGAAAACTTGACTAGTTCTTACACAACTACGTATGCTAGGCCTTTGGGGGCACAACGATTTCTTATTGTCTCGACTCTGGTCTGCACACTCCTAACATCCAATATAAGTCGAAAATTAAACTTACGGTGTGGGAGATTTCACGGGAGCTGGAGCAGATTTCGGAGCACCGAATGGTTTGGGCTTCGAGTTGTACTTGTAATCAACTTTGGCAGAATGCGTTGTATCAACTTTGACAACCGCGTCTTTCTTACCCATCGAAACGGCAATGTTGCCTGGCTTCCTGAGAAGAAAATAACGAGGACATTTTAAACAAGATGTAACTAGGGTACATGCAATCGTGCAGGCATTTATAGAATTTCGATAAATTGCCATAGAAGTAGCTTGCACGCGTGCCATTTTTGAGTGGTAATCATTTTTCACTTTCGTACCAACGTTGATATATAGGTCACATATGATCTTTCTATTTTTATTATAATTTTTCTTGCACGGCTCCATTGACGAGCAGAATACAAAAGTTATTTGAAGTAAAACACTGATTTAGGTTTTAAAACGCAACATTTTAAATAAAACTTTTGCACCAGCGCATGCAGTAATGTCAACTATCTCAATGAATTAGAAACTTTCGAAAGTAGACGTTGCTACAGCCAAGTGGTGTCTCCCCTTATTCTAGCCATAGAGCACCGCGCACTCTCTTATATAAGTACTATGAGTACGTAGGTTTTCTCCGACACCGTGGAGCACAAGAGACCTAGGCATACAGGTCAATTTATTTGTGTAGGTAATCTCGTGATAGCGAGTACAATTCAGGATTAGTAGTAGGATTGAAAATTTTGTTAAAATTGGACGAGCTACAGGGGTAATATTATGCTTATTGGCATAATAAAATCGTACAACTTTCGCAGTGTTTCATCCCGAACCTTTCCATGCAATTTTAACAGTAATTTTCAACGGAAACACGTTTGTACACAGTCCGACCAGACTTTTACCCATTATTTGGTACTTTTATTTTCGTTTACCTTTCTGACTGTTTTTTGTCCCCCCAGGGCTGTTTAGTTTTAAAAAACTCGCCGCTATTTCTTTTATTTTGGCAAAATAATTAATTGTACTGCAGTAAAATTGATTAAATATTTGTACTCCTCTCGACCAATCAGCATGCAATAATTTTAGTACGCTAATAGTGAGGGAGTAAACAGTATGTATTCCTACTAGCTGTGTACCATGTACTAATTTCATGCAAGCAAACAAGAAACAACATCATAAAGTCACGAGTGATACGAATGAAACATTCGATAAATGCCGGGTGCATTTACTTGCATAAGTTGTGGCCCCGGATAATTCCAAGACAGTGTTTAAATTTACTGTGCATCAACTAAACATAAATGGTACGTGTATAACCCTACTCCTAACCGTCAGCCCACGATAATTTTCCTGAGTGAGATATGGGCATAACCCATAGAGAACTGTAAAAATGACCGAAATGTGCGTAATGAAACTACAACGCCACAGAACAATAGTACCCGCTTTCATACGTGTCATTGAAAGAACTCCTATTCTCTTTTTAAACAATTTCCTGCTCTAATGAATTCGAAAAAAATACCGACATATTTTTGATAATGAAACTCCAATCGTAAACGTTCGAAAAGCTTCACCATGGAAACAATCTCATCAAAATATTTGAGAGGTTAAAGCTTTAACCGTCATCATTTCTAATTTTTCTGGAATCACCGTAAAGGCGTGACCCACGTATGATTATAACGACTGAGTATTTCGAGGGTTTTCCCAAAAATTTAAGGAGAAATTAATCTTTTATAATATTCATTTATAATTATATAATATTGATATATATTATATTTCGAAACATTGCCACTCGGAGGAATAAAATTTTCATTGTTTCGGCATATCAGTGTGCCAAAAACATTGCAACGGAAACGTTCGTCATATTCTATTTCTAAATAGTTGTGGGAGTTTAAAGTAAATTGCACAAAATTTTAATCTCATTATAATTCTAATATAATAGAAGTCTTAAATTACAGGAGATTGACATCACTAAGTTATGGGGGGTGGCATGTGTGTAAAAATACATCCATGCACGTTGTATGTTTACCATGAAAATTTTAAATTGAAATTTTTTTAGGATTTAAACTGAATTAGGCCTAAAATTATCTCGAGATAAAACACTATACGTTGTAGCGCACGTTTCAACCGTTTATTTTGTGAAAAAAGACGTCGTAAAACCGTAATTGAATCGTCGTAAAACCGTCGAGTTTATATACGTTTGTTTATATACGTTTGTAAAACATGTACGAAATTTTTTTTTTTAAATCACCTTTGTAATTGTACCAAAACAAGACTGAGGCTCGGTAAAAAAAAGATAACTAATTTTAAAACCAAGCTGAAATAGTATTGCGAAAACTGCTTCTCGGTTCGGTATTCGTCATATCACACTCCTTCGAGTTAATCTAACGAACCATGCATAAACAAATTTTCAATTGAAAATTCACATTAGAATAGTCTAAATTATCATTAGGTCAGAGGTTATTTGCTTTCGATAAACTTTGTTCTAGAAAGACGCCACGGCGCAGGATGGTGAATTGCCCGTATCCACCTATTTGATTGTGGCGGAAGTGCTAATAGCTATCAGGCTGCCCAATTACCACAAATTGAAATGATTTTCGGCGTCAATTGTCAATTACTGCGATGATGACCCACACCCCCTCACCTTATGAGACTCAGCTTCAATGTTTGCGATCGTTTTATGGCATTCTGGGCTTCGATATGCGTCATTCCCTCGGTGGACTGTCCGTTGATGGCTGACAAACTGTCTCCGGAGCATATTCCACGACTGTCCGCCTTTCCGCCTGCGGTTATCTGAAAAACAAAAATAAGAAAATTGTCTTGTTTTTATCGTTTATCCAAATCCTTTGTGATATGCAAATCGTTCATCGAATATCTGCATGGCGACTATTTTTGGAGTACTTTAATGTTAATAACGTATGTAAACAAACAAAGTAAAATGCACTTGGATAAACATATATTAAAAGAAAGAATATATATATTTATATTCACCCGCAATCCCGCAAAAATTTAGAATTTCTAAACATGATCTATATCAAACGGTTAGTTTCCAGAGCACAAAAAATTCTAAATAGTTGTCATCAGTTGGTCTTTTGTAAATATGCTGTTTCAAATGCTTAGAAAAGAAGTTTCAAGATTACTGTATACAACCCGTACGATGATCGCGTTACAAAGACGAAATAAGTTTGAGATTCTAGTTATAATAAATCATTACAAATAAATATAATAAATGGTGTAGCCATTTAAGGTGCGAAAATTAAAGTCAAATAGGTTAGGTAAACAAAACGATAGCCACATTGCTTGCTTGAGGCAAATAACCGAATCAAAAGTAACCATACAGTTACGATATAAACGATAACTCCAGCACGTTTTAAAAGTAACGTTGTAAATTCAGACAAAAACTTTAAAAACTCAATTATTGCCACAACGGAGTATTTAGCGGACAAAAAATACAATTGTATTTACTAGGCATTTTCCATTTGCCTGATCACCATGCAATAAAATAATCTTCAAATTTATGGTAATTATAGTAAACCAAATACTTTTAGACATATTAAAGATCGGTGTTTTGGTGTTCCTGCAGTTCATTTGAGGGGGAGCCCCGGCTCAATTGTCTAGAATCGGACGCCAAATGTATATGGTTATAACTTCGCTTGCTATTATAGTTGTCAAGAAAACTGTCACTAGGATTATGTACACTCGTTTTTACGCGCACAGAACACAAAGTAAAGCGTATTTAGATGCACCAAGCTGGAGCTGGTGAATATAGACCAATATAAGGCCAAAGAAAAAGCGAGTAAATATAAGGCCAAAGATTAAATATTTGGTTTAATTGGGTAAAAATGCCCTAAATTACAACAGATTGAGTAGTCATAGGAACGATATACCCTTTGAGAATGTTGTGAGTAACAGATATCTCAACTAAAGACAACATGCATGTTTTCCCACGCAATGAATACAACACAGTCAAAGTCAAGATCGATATTCTCGAATTTCCATGCATCGTGTAATTCGAGTAGTTTTGTAACGAGGATGCATGATGTATATGTCTGATAGGAACAGTTACGTAAAATTAGGAGTGCATGTGTAGACAGATTATACACTGACAAATGTGCGCTGTCGAATCGTTAACAACAGGACGATATCGAAAACTTAGCATTTCAAATAAACTAAAAAAATGTCGGAAGAACAAATATTTATAGTCGCCATTAGCATACATTAGTTTTATCACCTTTGCTTACTTAAAGTCAGCTAATAAAGAGATCAAACACAAACTTATGTAACATGTAGTGTATTTTTTAACACAACAATATGCAACCCTAGTTAGCATATCTAATCACAACAACTGTGTATAACACTTTCGTTTATATATGTATGCAATCCTTAGATAATTAAACATCTTTAATCGACTTGCTTATGCTTGAAAATGCTTCAAGCAAAACTGGATTTTGAAATTACTATCACAGAAAAAGCAAGATTAAGTTAAGACAGACATATTTAAATTCTGGAGGTCATCGTATTCGAATGGCTCATGCCATACCAAGAGTCTTGCATTGAAGACATGACTGAACAAACAATGTATAATATTGTTTTCTTATCTACATAAATTCTATTAAATTCATCTTCGATTTCGTTTAGGTGTCAGCTCCGAAGAAACGCGAACTTCAAGCGAAAGGTTCCGTTTACTACACAGCATATTATGAACTCTTACATTTCATTCTGCTATTACCGCCTGAATATAGACATTAAAATATTTCAAATAGCTTTACAGGCAGAGTCAAAACATTGCCATAAATCGTCTCAGCGTAGCGTGGAACACAGACAGCCTCACTGATTAACTTGTGTGAACATATGTATGTCTGTCACTTACCACGTACATAAAACCATCAAAATTGCACGCGAAATACAAAAGGATAGGAGTGTTTACGGAGGTTAACGAGATGTAAAGCACTAAATGACTGTATTAATAATGCTACCTACCGATTGTATCGCCAAGCCTCGGCCGAATTCTTTCCCTCCTTGAAGGCGAAATCCAAACGGCCCTCCGCCAGACAGAACCACTTCGTAATTCTCCTCGCTCATCGATTAGCCGTAGTCTACAGCAAGTTTGAACAAAGTTTAGCCCACTTAAAGAGTTTAAACACAGATAGTTCGTGTTATACCGACTCCATACTTATGTCTAAATTATTCAGACAAGCAACTTAGACGCTATTTAGCATACAAAACACGTCACAACACCCACACCTCTAATATTTCCTTACAAAGACCTAGCCTGCTTTGAAATGCAAATTTAGAATTGACCTACGAACCCTGTTCGGGGTATTTAACCAAGCAGCGGAAATCGTCTTCTAGCCACTTCGAGCCAATGTTTACTATAAATGGCCTAAAAAATGCATAAGTGTTTAAATATGAGATAGACACAGCCTTTAATTGTCCTATGGTATTTATACGTTCAGTTTTGAATAACGTGTATAGGTCTGAAGTACATCGTATGCATGTTAGCTGACATATATATAGCTCATTCTTTCAAGTAGCGACATATGTCAAAAGAATTGTAGATTGAGAACATTCTACTGTATCATTAGAACAGATACCACTCCAGAAAGAGAGGAACCGGTAACGATTTCATGGCGAAGGAAGTGTTGACTGATTGCGGTAAGGCACGAAGAGTCAGTAGGACAAAAACGTCGATGATGTGACGAATGAGGTTTATAGCCAAATGGGAATGTACTTTCTACAAAATAGCCAAATGAGACCTATATTTATATGGAAATATTTTAATATAAAATAAATGTTATTTTGACATTTTATAACGATGGATTAACGAATTATAAGGCCAATATTTTAACAAATAAACAAAATTTAAATTCGATTTTTGGTTCGAATCTAAATCATTCACAGGAGATGCAACTTTTACACGATACCGTAGCATGTTTCGATTTAATTCAATCACTCAGTTCGGTTTTTCGTCTTTCGAGTTTTACTATTTCAAAAATTATGCGCCACAGTTTGATTGCATGGATTATAGGAAGAAAATGAAGCAAGGCCTTGCCTTTCTTTTTTTAATACAGAAGCTGACCTTTTCATAATTATGGAAAGCGAAGTTTAAAGCTGTTAAATGCGAGGAATCAAGTACCCCAGGTGTGAATATAAATTCACACGACGGGCTACTTGGAACTGGTGACCCGGCGATTTTAAAAGTAATGAAGACCTACAAGTTCTACAATACACAGAAAGAATAATTGCTGTTGCTATGCATCGTTTTATTTTATTTCTACATAAAAAAGGGTAGTCTTCTCTTCCTGTTGCGCATGATTGTGTTTTTCCTGTTGGCTGTGAGAGGTGTGTTCAATATCTAAACCACCTGTTGAAGTATTTTGATGAGGTGGCTTTGAAAGTTTCAAGGTGTCCGCAGAAAATTGCTACTTCTACTTTACTACTTCTTTCCTTAATCTCTCCAGTCTCAATTATTAGCGTCCAAAAAGGCTCTTATCTGAACATGGAATTACGTAAGCTATGTACACTGCGTAATTTTGTCAGCGCTTTTTCCCGGGATACTGAAAGCGAAATGTTATTGCAAAAAGGTATAAGTTGGGAATTTGTGTTAGTTTTTCAAACCTGAGAGTCGGATTGTTTCATAACCATGCAGTTTTTACTACGCGCCTACTCTTGGCCTGCTGACCAACTTTGAACTTCATTTTCAGTACGAAAGAACCATGCAATGCCGTTGCCTAAAAATCTTGGCCATTTTGGGGACAAGTGATCCAGACTTCATCACCAAGGCCTCAAGGTTAGGCCCAGAAATGTCTCGTAATGTAAACACACACGGTTTATGTGTGTTTACTTTGGTGTTGCAAAACTACCCAGGTGGTCGATGTAATCAATGCCTAATACCTACATGACAAAATTATTTTAATTTTTACATTGACTCCGCAAATATTGTGAAATCTCTAAAAGGGAGTGTAGGTTTAAGGCAAACACCCGCGTGCTTCACTTTAGGGATTGATGCCGGACCGGCTATGTCAATTATTCTATTATTATTCAGTAAGATATTCTTCCCACCAAAACATATATGCTACGGTTTAAACTATGACTCTTGAATTTTATATCTTTTATGTCCAGACATATAACATTTTATGAATCGAAAATGTAAATTTTATACAAAGAATTTTCTTAACTTTCCTAAACATAGATCCCATCCATTTTCAATGTGATTACGTCATGTGACTGCAACTGGTCAAATTTTCATCCATTTCTACCGTGAATAGGACAAATGAAATAGGAAAACTGAAAAGGACAAATTCGAGCACGGTTCCAAATTTGTCCGGTCCGATCACTTCCCAACTTCGTACCCTGGTAGCCTGGACCATCTGAACGTAGCCTAGACCATCTGTATGAGAGGAGGGGTCGGTAATATTAGTAGCATTGTAATATACATCCCAATCAAACGCTTTTTTTCTCTATTTTTTTAATCTCGTCCGCCTAATATGAAAACAATTACAATTACAGATATGATTAAATCGTGGTACCCCGAACAATATAGAGACTGAAATCAGTAATATTTTAGTACACGCACGGCACACAAGCAGCGAGGCAGATCAATCGACATTTGTAAAATGTTGAAAGATAAAGAGATCGGACACCTAAATCATCCCCTAAGATCAATTTTGTTTTTTTTTCGGCACGGTTCGATCACAATTGATCGGGTTCAAAACTGTCACCAATATCTATTAAGACTTCAGTCAACTTTAGGACAAGTCGATAGGTTGAAATCAAGACCTAACTGAACCAATTACTTACCAATACATAGCTTGGTTCTGAACAAACCAATCAGCTATGGTGTCATGTCAAGGTCAATGCACACGACCTGTTCGAAACAGATGAAATTGACACCAAGAATTGTTTATCAAAGCATTCGGCAACTTAACCGCGCATTGACGTTGATTCTCCGGCTACAGAAGTCTGTCCCACGGAAAGGCGTTGTATATGCGTAGATGTTTACGAAAACAAAATCAAAATGTTTGCAATAATTCAGGAAATAAAAACTACATCGGATATTCCTGAGTTTTGTTTTGGTAACTTGTGGAAAAGCGAACAGACATATGTTAGCGACGGAAGGTGGAGAAAACACAAATTGTTTGAATTGATTGTATTACCATATCAGGCTTGCTGTAGTTATTTCTATTTTATAGTTGAGATTCTTATCTCGTTATTGCTTGGGCATTGAACCGCGGGAAATAATTTCTCGTACAGGGTGTCTCAAATAAACAGAATGGTAATTTTATCTGTCACGCATGCATGACAGATTATATTAACGGGGACGAAGTCAATTTTGCATAGTAACAGAGAGCAGTTGTTTCATTTCTTAATTAATATTTTTTATGATACCTTAACTTTTTTACAAACCAGGCAAATAATTTTGGCGCCATTATTAAGGAGCGATTTGGTTACGGCAAGGTCGTTACAAAAATTACTCTGCACATGGCAATATCATAACTAAAAGCGAATCAACTAGTGTCACGTATTTGAAGGTGAAAGATCAATTTTACAATTGTTTTAATTTTCGTTTTTATCCTCAAAAAGATCGTTTAGGACTTTGTGTATTACAAATGCTGCATGCCCCCTATATGTATTATTGTTAAACCAGTTGGTTGGTTCTCTTCTCAAGTTTCACTGTGTTTGGATCTCGAATGAAATTCCGGACGTGGAAGAATATGATTTCGAACGGGAAAAGTTGTTTTCTCCTCAGGTGCAATTTCATCGTTTGTTAAATATTTCTTTTCCGTATTCCGCAGGATACATTTTGAGGGTCGCGATTCTCCACAATATTTACAATCTTCCCTTTTGAGTTCTTAGCTTAGAGTGTACTGAGCATGAAAGACAGGAAAAGGGTGATGCCAAGACCATTTTTCATATGTCTGGTGAATAATCTGTGGTAGCTACCGCTGTTTGCATCCTCTCTCTTCCGCAGAGTCCGCTAAAACAGAGTTTTAACGCGCTGATAATTGTTGAGATACCTCATGCAATAGTAAACCTAAGCTTCTGTGCAGAGAAGAGAGTGCTTGCATCACTGTATTAAGCTCAGTACATGCGAGGGCATTCCCTTGGGTGGGGGAGGGTTGGAGGGGGATGGCGCGATATCTTATAGCATTTTTAATTTGGCGCTCTGGCTCCAAAAATGTTTTCGCCATAATTTATCGCGTGTTTCACGCCTGAAAGTTTTTATTGCTAAAAACAATTAATAATGGGAGCGACTATAATGTGCCTATTAATATTGGGACCAAGTCGTTGATTTTGGGAATATAAACCCATGGTGTTTATCTCTGTTTTTCACGTCAATTTTCAGGGCAGGAAGGAGTAATTACAACGCATTGATCAAACAAGGTATTCTCGATTATTTAATAATCGCAATATAACCTCACTTAGATCAAATACTTCCAGACAATATTGATATAAATTTATTTAATATTATAATTATTTATGTAAAACACCTATATATTATTAAACTCGTGCAGAACAAACTCTTATCGGTTATGTACATATAGAGAAGACCGTTACTTGATGCCAGGGTTACGGCTGTTTAAAACATTTTAAAATTCGAGTCACCTCTATAGTGAACTCTACTATACTCATGGAAGGATACCTGTAGATTATTAACATGATACCTGGGACCGGTTGCATAAGGTGGTTAACTTTTAACTATATTTCGTTAGAAAACTATATTTGTCAATCAGTGTATTTTGAAGTTAACTACGATTGAAGTAAACTCAAAAGTTAGTCAAGAGTTTCACACAACCGGCCCCTGGAGATTGACATGCTTATACTCGCCTAAATTAAAACTATAATTGTCTTCCAGGTTAATCAGAAAGAATTTAACAAACGTACCTAATTCCAGAATATTTACTTGTAGTAGTAAAACTGCTTCGACTAAGTAGCTTCGTTTTCAACGAAGTATCAAATAATTAGACCCCGTGCATCAATAAGAAGGCTGGGATCAAGAGGTAAAAGGAAACCTCTTGTCTTTGCTTTTGACAGTTGTTCTAATGCGGTAAAATCGACGTGTTTTCCTATATGCACGCATTTTTTATCGAAACCTAGGTAATAATTCCATGTTCAATAAATCCTAAATACAGGAATTTAATCCTTGAGACTAGGGTGGAATTTACTCCTTGAGATTACCCTAGAATTAGGGTTAGATTAAGGAATAGGTTTAACCCTAATTAACGATAAACCTAATTTCTCAGATCTAATGCTAACCTATTCTAAAGGATTAAATTTGTGTATTTTGTTTTTAATGAATATGAACCTAGTGTCAAAGGTATCTTTCCCGAGAACGAGGCTTTATATAATATCCATGCTATCCTTTTATCTTATATAGATCAACTTTTATTGAATATCTAATATCAATTCTCATGCATTCGTGGTCAAAATTGCAAGGTTACCATACTAAGCAACGAAGAAATACCTTAAAAGGACGGTTGAGCATACAACAACGGTTCCTATTACTGTCCCCCCCCCGGCCCCCAGCCTCGAATTACAATATATTTATCTGTTTTACCCATAGCGCGTTAAAGTTTGTAGTCTAGCATAAATTTACCAAAAGTCCTTCCATTTTTATAATCTGTTCCCTTCTTATAGTACTTTCAACATCCTTCCTGTTTGACTCTGGTCTTTCCATTTATAATGTCCATCTTCTATGTCAATTTCGCAAAGTGTACTTATCGTTCGCCAAGGGGATATCGTAGTTCCAGGTTTACATCTATTTCAGGGTGCTCCAGTCTTAGGCATGCTCCGGACATACTGCCTGTGTACCCATGCTGTAGAATCCGGTATTTTCTAGATTGCTGCCACACACCTACAGAATTGCAATGTTAATTGAGTATTTCACTTTTAAACTAAATGCTGAAATAGAACGGAGTTTTTTATATACAGGTAGTAAGAGCATCCCAAAATTAGTAAAATTGTAAAGTTTGTTGAATAATGTTGAAATATACAAAAAATATCGCCATATGTAGCCATTGGTCCGTTTTAGTTATGGTCCTAAGTGCGCAAAAATATTGATAAACTTACTGCACATCTGAAGCAGTCAGCATGCCAAGGTTTATCGAGTGCTTCGAGCCAGCGGTCTCCGCCACCAATTACTTGCTTACATGAACAACATTTCACACAGAATAATTCTTTGTAATCTTGTGCGCAATACGGTTTACCGCTGTCCAGGTGGAAACTCTCGTTGGCTATCTGTTTGCCACAATGAGCGCAGATGAAGTGCTCCGGATGAAACATCTTACCGATGGCTTTAACACAAGGCTGAAAAAATCGATCGCGAGTTGACAAAAAAATTTTACCCTGAGACAGGGGCTTTCCATTGAAATACCAGCCTATATAGTTTACAACCATGTGCAAGAATTACGAAGACTCAAAAATTCGATTATTTCCCCCTACCATTGACAATGTTGAGAGTTATATTTTCAGCAATTCAAATAGCTTGGTATCATGGATAAAACATTGTTTCGGAGGGTACTTAATTGTTGCACATGATTGTAGCTCTCTCATACGGCCCCTTAGGACGTGATCTCATTAATATACAGTCGGAATTTCGAAGGGGCCTAGAACAAAATGTTTATTTTGCCTAATGTGAGGAGCCAGGGGGAGGGCGCAGTGGCTCATCAGTAGCAAAATGGCGGAAACTCCAATGAGCGGTATTAACAGATAACTTTTTTTTGAGCGCGACATTCCGAATTATCAAGGGAGAGATTGGTATTAACAACTTTGAAATTACGTAGGTATGACGTAACATTTCCAGAACACTGCGAATTATTTGTATATTTACTTGACGTCATAATTGTACCTGGAATTATTTGTAGGCGGCTAACCGATCACTAAAATCATTATGGCCCCTTTCTCATACTAATATTCATATGACCCTCATAATCTAAACCGAGAAACAATTTCCACACCACCACCTCTTGGTAGACCTTGCCTATATTGGAGGTATGTTTGTTGCGCCCAAACGAGAAAGTTAACTTGAACCAATTGAATAAATTTTAATAGTAAAAATTCGTATGGAGGGGAATGCCAGAAGGAAATAGCCTTGTCCCCCGCAAAAATGAGTGTTTGAAATTGAATAAGTTTATCTCATTCAGGTGTAAACTCAATGACGTCGAATCGGTTACTAAATAACGAACGCATGAATTAAGAACGCAAACACGCAACAAATTACTAAATTAGCGGATTTTAATTTCTCACAGCAAATTCATACTGACTCAACAATAAAATAAATCGACTAAAAAATCCATCGAACGCGTAAATAGTAAGAATTACAATGTACAGAACGGCAGCTAAATTTTTTCATACAGTTTGTTAAATAGCAGGAAACCAACCTGTTTACGAAGGCATAAAAACGATAACTACGCATTATCTAAAACTCAACAGAGAATAACTTGTCAGTAATAACTTCAATAACTACGTCAATAACCTCTTACTTATAAATCTTCACTCATTGGCAGACGCCTATAAATAAAGCCCAAAGCTTTCTGCTGTTGATGGGGCTCCAATCTCACAAAAATCTGTCTAATGTCACTTCTACACTCGTCTAACTGTTCAACCAACAATTCCTTTCTATAATCCATATAACTTATATCAGCTTTCGCCTTTTTCAGTCGATCTTTTTGCTCCGATATTTTTTTCTGGACATCTCCGATTTCCAGTCCCTTGAAAGAGGTTCTCTTATCAGCGCTTTCTTGTAGAGCACGAGCATTTTTTAGACGGATCGAAGATTTGGTCAAAATATCTTCGAACCGTCGCGATTTTTTTCGCGCTTCATCAACTCTCGTCTCCGCCTTTTCGATCGCGACCTTTATCGGGGGAATCCGCTTACTGAGATCACGAATTCGTTGGACGGTGATCCGTTTCTTTTCTCGGGCCGCCTCGATCTTTTCCGTCAACTCCTCAACAATTTTCGACTCGTTCTTCATGTCTTTCTCGTAAAACTTTGCCGCGCGTCGGTTTTGTTCAATCACCACGGTTCGGGCAGTTAATCTTTTAGTTACTTCTTCGACTTTTTTCTCTCTTCGCTGCACGATTTCCTCCAGCGATCGTATCTGGTCTCGCAAAGACCTGGCCTGCGATTTCGACGACATAATCCGATGTTTAGCTTCGACATACCCTCGTTCGGCGATCTCACGTCGATCGATGGCCTCCGCTAACTCCTCTTTAGCTATCGCAATCTTCTCACGAACAATTGACATGTCATTAGGTCTTCGGCTTCTGTCGTTATACTCCGTTGACGTTTCACTGCTTCGCCGTGAACTGGTCGGACTAGGCGTGCTCGCCCAGCTGTGGCGGCCGTTTCCGATGCCGCCATAGCTCGTGTGTCGCGTTCCTCGAGGGAGAAAAGCACGGCTGTTATTATTATTATTAACGTCCGACTCGAACTTTTGCTTGAGCTCGGAAAAAGGCTGAATCCGCTCGGACACAGGGGAACTGGGGGAAGTAGGCGACGTAACTCCGCTGACCGAAGGCGACTTCGAGTTCGTCTGCTCAAACATTTTTCTGGTGTTATGGAATTGGTTTTGAAACCTATCTCTTACGAAGGGGTGCTCGTCAATTTCGTTGACATACGAGAAAGCTTTTGCATCGGTCTTAAACGACTGTAGTGGAGCTGGTCGTACCATATTTGTCTTTTCCGCAACGAATGTTCGACTTTCATTTGACATATTCGCAATAAATAATATCTCTTCGGTACACAGTGGTCAGTAGGAATTTATAATTTCAGCCAAATGTCAACAACTAACAAATGTCCATAAAGATTATATAGCACTTGGTGCTCAAACTGAGAAGTTCTTTGCACTCAAAAGCGAAGGAATGTCAATATATATGGTACCCTATATCAATGTTTGATTCACACGAAGTAACAGAACCCTAATCTTTTCCAAGAGCGTTTAAAATGCCAGTGCAAACAATCAGTTCAATATTGATTCAACTATGAATTCCAATGTACCCTAAACAATCTTATATAATATCAAATGTCAAAGCCATAAGTGAGTTATTTTCCAACTATTAATTTTCGATCAAAGTGCAACGAATCGCTTCGAATTCCAATCAGAAAAGGCAACAACGAAAAATCACACGCCAGATATTCTAGATCTTCGTACTTTTTAATCCTTATGCCGACAATTATCTGTCCCAAACACACAAAATGTTCAGTCAGTTGAAACGAAGCGAACAGCAGCTTTACAACTCGACTTCTCCTGCAAATACGAGCGTTTTTCGAGTAGTTTTGAGCAGCAGATTCGAAGTAAACGCTTTGCAGTTCTAATCTTTCGTCGAGCTTGTCGAAACGAGCACGGATATTCGATATCTGACAAACAGACACGAAGCGACCTCGTCTGTGTGATCGTTTCTCGCAGCGAAGTTTCTCAGCAATGTTTTTGTTGTTTATATCTCAAATCCAGCCACCGATATTACATTTCACCCACTTTTAACCTTGTTTTAATTGCTGGCAAGTCCACAACCAAACGCAGTCGCAAATGACTAACTCCAGGGACACATCAAGCTTAATATTAGCGATTATAAATCATATCTGATGTTCCTGACCTTTGTCGAATTATAATAATGATAAAAGTGATAGTGAAGTAACTATAACTCTATTGGCTCCCTCTCACAGCTCTTTGTAAACCATAGCTTCCCAATGTGTATTAGAAACAAAAGCAGTCAGGCGCCTCTGTTGTTCAGCAAATATATAAGCGTTTCGAGTTACTTATTTGGCGTTTTTATTTCGTGGGTCGTGAAGATACCGGTCGAGAGTCGAGGAAACGCGGGTTTGGAAAACAAGTTTGATTGGAAAGTTTCCCTGAATGATGCTTCATTCCTTCATCTCACTGGATTTATTAAATCAGGATATACAAATCGAAAATTGACGACGTTTGACGAAAATTCTTGCAATTGCATTTAAAATTGCACTGTACTGTAATTATAAATGCGATTACTGCATTATGAGGGTAACTACTGCAGTTATAAAGTAATTGCATTACTCACTCGCACAGTATTAATGAAATATTCACACAGTGCATTAAACAGTTTAATAGTATATTTCGTGGCATCGGACAGATTCGTTAGGGCTCTAGTGACTCGTGTTATCTTTCATTATTTCAAATTCTCACTCATGCATGTTTAACTATAATCGCAATGAAAACTATAGTTTTTCCTTTTTATACAAATGGCATTGTTTCTTCAGAGGGTTCCAATATCATTGTATCAATACATGACATGCAAATGTCAGCTGATACAACTGGCATATGTGAATGATAGCTTTTACAACCACTGTAGCAATCAAAAGCTTTTGCACTTTTACCCACGAAACACGACTGTGCCACAAGCGTCCACGAGAAACACAGTATCGTTTCTGAATGTATATATCAACACAAGACTCCATAGAATTCTCATTGTGCCCACCCCCGCGTGTAATCATGACGCGATATCCGGCTGAAATACCTAACTTCTGATAGACATGTAGAGAATTTTACTTATGACTGCAGATAAATGAGAACAAGGTGCAATATGGTACGATTTGTGCATTTTGAGCCGCTGTGTTAACGATGAATCGATGATAATGTTGTTTGCTGTTGGAAATTGTGTTGCCATAGCAATTTTGAACGCACACAAGTCAATAATGTGGGAGAATATGTATACATGGAATCACAGAGTGAAATTTACATATCTAAGGGCTCATTGATGATACCGACAATCTCTTTAGTCCCGACAATAAACGTTTCGACAACAATATCCTCGGTAACAGAAATATCACGGCAAAAATTTATGTTCACTAATGAAATGATAAATCTTTTGACGTTTCTGACCCGCCAGATCAGGGAAACACATGTAAACACATGGAAACCAAGCCCTTGGCTTGGAATATTGATTTGTATCAATTTCAAGTGGAGGGCCATATAAGCCAGATTTTTAAAATATCTGAGTTAGATGTTTTCCCTTCGTACGTGGACAAAATCCTGGAGTGCACGAAATACTACAAAAGTGAGCCATGTTAATTAATCGCGGTACACCGTGACTTTCATGAGAATGGAAGGATTCGATTTTCCTCATTTTGCAGAAAACAATTTGATTGGCGTTTTGGCCCATCGACAACAGAATTTCTATGCCTTCGGGTGTTTTCCCAGACATTAGCTTGGGGGAATGGAACTCGAAGTCAGTCTGATTTAAAATAAAAGTGTAAAACAACACTTACTAACTAACAGACAAATGAATTGTGACTTGGATGAAGTTTTTATGGCTATACGCAGGCCTTTCAGAAACTCAACTGTCGTCAAGGGTAACCCACCCAGCAATAAATAAGAGTTTGTAAAGGCATAGCAGTTAACCAAAACCGCAAAGCAACTTGTTTTTACGTACGATGTAAATCGCACAGCCTCTGGTATTGAAAAGTATTGTAATCGCACAGCCTCTTGTCTTAAAAAGGATTGTAATCGCAGAGCCTCTTGATTTACATACCATGTAAACCTTAGTCTCTTGTTTTACATTATCTCAGAGCCGCTTGTTTCGCCTATCTACACCCCTCTTCTAAACGAGGAAGCTAAAACAGTGACTACATGTACGTTTACGAATACGGTGAATACGATACGAGTGCAAAATTCTCACACCAAGCTCATTGTTGTTTGCTTACGCCATCTGACGAATCACATAGTCGTTACATGGCTTTTGAATGTAAATCATGCACTCGTAGTATTTGCTAAAGCTCCTCATTTTTCTAGCCCGGGGAAACATGGCAGAAAGAAGACTTACCCCAACAATTGCTTGATTGCAGACATCACAGTGTGGAGCAAACTTCATATCATAACAATTTTCGCAATACAGGTGATCTGATTCTTCAACGAACCCCTTATTCTGCAAAGATTTCCTACAGCCGGCGCAGTTGAAGTGTTCAGGATGCCAGTTGCGACCCAGGGCACTCAGGAATGATCCCCTAAAGAAAAAGAAGAATTTCGGTCCCGATTCCAGATCTCTTAAGCTGAAATTTCAATCATTATTTGCTTCCCCCAAAAAGTAAACATTTTTCAATTTCCTTTACATAAGTTTTATTTCCAAAGTGTACAAGGTGTCTGGCTTCAAGGCTAAGTTGGATGTAAATTCATAAATTGCACATGTTATTGACACATCTTGTAAAAGGCGTAAAGGCTAAATGCTTTTGTGATGATATTGATTAGAGACAATTTAGACTTGCGAGTACGTTTTTGCAATGAGCTCCTTCGCCACGAAAATGAATGTAAAAAACATAGCTTGCATGCTTGCACACTTACTGAATATTTTGCCCGCAGCCATGACAATGAGGAAGCTGTGAGTTACTCGCCGGACTAGTTGGTTTGGGTTTGGCTGCCGGTGCAGCCGCTGGACGGTATGACTGGAACGCTGGCGCAGGTGATGGAACGCCTGTACTTGTTGGCTGCGGACTGGTTTGACGCCGTTCAGCATAGGCCGCCCTAGCTGCATCAGATGGTCGGGTAAAATTGATTTCAGACGGTAAGACTTGCATGGGTTTAACGCCGGGTGGGCAGGGGGGTGGTTCCTTTGTATTCATGGGCGTCTGGACGGGGGGTTTCCCACCACGGACATTAGCGGTTACTGTGTAAGGGCGCGATTGGGGAACAGCACGATTTCGATCGCCGTCTGGCTGCGAGAACACACTTGGATGGGAGTCTGAGTGGAATCAAACGAAAGAACGATGGAGATATTACGTAGCTGTGAAAATTTAAACTTAAATTTATAGAGTTACAAACAAAATCTCTGACGCGATATACCATACGCATATACGCAAAATTATTTAATTATGTATATTTTCAACACTTCTATATCTGGTTATTCACAGCTGTTTCGAAACTGACATGCCAGCGTCTACTGGGTTAATTATATATAATGGTATACATATGTACTCTGCACTAATCAGGGATTATTCTGAGGTACATTGATAACCACTTTTGTAGTGGTAAATAAGATTTGTAAAGTGATAAAAGGTATTTCATGCAGTGATAAACTGCGATATTTATCATTTGTTATTTTATACATACACTGCACTGATATGGAAGAGAACATGAGTATTATTGTAGAAATTTGCTGCAGAGAATTATTCAGTATTATTGTAGAAATTTGCTGCATAGCATTATTCAGTAACACTATGCATGTTAATCTCAAGTTGCAGAATCAGTACACGCACTCTCATGATGCAGGACAAAGTATAGAGCTTTTCAAAAACGATGTAATACTAAAATATATTACATTACAAGCGTTTTTGTGCAGTGATAAGATATCCTTGGAATAACCCCTGGTGATCAGACGCACCGTGCACAGATAAATAATGGCCAGTTAATTTGTAAGTACTAGATCGGTGCATGGATCTCCTTGATCTCAGTTTTTTTTTCACTTGAAGAATGTTTTGCAAAAAATCATAGAATTTTAAGTATGTGTGGCATTAAAATTTTAAAAGTATAACAAAGTCCGAATTAGCTATGTCATCTGGACACACAAGTTTTTCAATTTCCACGAGATTTTACCCTAAACTGTTTAAAAACCTGGTTCGAAAAAGATAGGACCTTATATACATTTCTCAGATTTCCAAAGACGAGCATTTTGTTGAATTGTTTGCATAAAAACAATCGATTTACCTCCACCATCGACATGCCTTTGCAGCAGTTTAAAACTTCTCGATTGTCCAGCAGGTAGTTGTTCATCTTCAGGCGAATATGCTTCAGGGGGTGGTGGGGGAAGATCTAAAATGGTAAAAGTTACTTGAATACTTCTTGAAATCCATGCATAATAAAATCAGTCTTTCCACTATCAATGTTGAAATCTAAGAACAGCACGTATAAAGGTACCCACGAATGAGCGCGGTTAATGACCTTTCATTCCCCAGAAAATTCTGTTCACCATGCAAGCAAATTATGTGGGTGTCTTGGTCAAAAAGGAAACCAAATACGAATACATCAAAACTCAAATACAAAACTGCATTACAAGAAAGTTTAAAATAACCGAAAATCTAGCCTAATGTACGTCAGCAAATTCGTGCACGTACGCTACTGTCTGAACGTGTTTAAAACTGGGCTACTCAGTTCATAACGACATACAGTTTTACAGAAAACCTATTATGCACTCGTAATATCAATGGAAAATGCAACAAGAAAGGGATTTGTGAAATGAAATGAAGTGCAGCGCTCACTTGTATTTGAACTTGGTTGAAATGTTAGTGTAACGTTATATTATGATTAATGATGGCAATTAGTGTGAATGTTTCAATTATTTGTTAGTAACTAAAGTTAATACCATTAGATTCTTGTTCTTTCCTAGTAAGATGTTTTTGTAGCCGATGAAAGGATCGTGACTGAATCCTTGATCGATCGTCACTGTCCCCTGGAAATGATCAGCCAGTGACAAGGTAAGAAATGAAATCTTTTCTTGGGGTTATTGACTCGACCAAAGTCGACAAAAAAACGGTCAAAAACTTAAAAAAGCATACATATATATAACAATAAAAGGATGATTCCGCTTTAAGACCAGAACTTATATACTGCAGCTCAGCTACACTTTAGGTCAATATAAAAGGACATTATGATTACTCGCAACCTTGTGGAGAACTAATTCTGAAAGGTCCTCTACTCCATGCTTTCGATCTCTAAAGTTTTCCACGTACAGATTATACATATGTTCCCGTGTTGACTTTTGATGAGGCTGTACAGTAGCTTGGCGACCCCTTTATCTGGGTAACTGCAGCATGCGGTGGTTATGCAGTGGTATGTATGTAGCGGTACGTGGTACGGTTCTTTGCCTCAGTCCAAGCTGTAGGTGAAATACTTCTAATTCAAACTACAAAATTTTCTAATGCATCTTTTGGATTCTCATACTAATCCTTTTAATCCCGATTCTTATTCCTATAATCTATTGGTCTTAGGGTTAGCTGTTAGCATGAAAAGCGGATTACCACCGGGACATCTACACCTATTGCATACATTTTGGTAATTAATAGCATGTTAACTAAGTTACACATTCCCTGGTAAGTGTTAGGTAAAAAAATATTGGGGGTTAAATATTAGTAGCATGGAAGTTTTGTGCATTTACCTATTTGTCACCAAGAATTTAAGAAATACTTCCAAGGAGAATTTTTAAAGAGAGTAATAAAACAGGTCTCTCAGAGAGGTGTCCATGGGAGAGGGCAATTCACACCCTTTGCTTACAGAGGGGAGGAAATTTTGAGGAAAAAAAGAAAGGGGGAAACACTCGCAATTGGGTAAGGTCCTCAAATTCCTGCACCAAGTTCACAAATTTTATTTCAGTTTTGGATCATGATTTTTCACTGATAACAAACCCAGAGCATGTTACTAAGTAGATAGGGCAGTTTCATTAAAAATGGGTCATGTCATTCATAACTGTAGTGTTACAGATCAATAAACAATTGAAAGTAATAACGAATAAGGGTGCAATAAAAGTTGTAGTTACCATCAATATCGTTATCTGCATGTCTTGATGTCAATCCTGAATCATTTATACTTGAATTCCTCAACATTCTAAGAACTTCAGAATCATCATAATTATCTGGATCCTTTGCAGGTTTCCTAAAGTGCATTTTATAAAAATAATTATTGCATAACAAAATGGGTAATGAGCTGTACTGATTTACATTCTTCTCAACTGTTCCTGGCTTGATTTTGAGATACAGTATGTACATATTTAACTCCAAATTAGAACCCTTCACCACAAAGTGTATAATACATGCAATTCACAGAGTTATACATTTGAACATCAAATCAGGTTCATAATTTTAATATATATGTTGCCAAGTTTTTCTCACCCAAGGTGAACCTCTGGTGCGCATATGCCCTTAGTTTAAATGTTAAGTTCATAAACATCTTTAGATAGGCTTGTACATGGAAATTGTAAACACGTAGGCCAATATATTGACAGCTTTTTGTGTTTGTGGTGACCAAGTCCTGGCTGTAAAATTACAACCAGAAAAATTAAAATTAAGGTTATAATATTCTAGATACAAAAGAGTCCTCTACCCTTCCTCAAAAGTCAGTGTGTTACAAAAATAATGCTTCATGGCATATGTACTGCTTCAATGCTTTTTTACCATGTTATATTATACCTTTGTTACCATATCAATTACATTATACCTACTGACCTACATGTATATACAGTAAGTATATCATGGGCTCTTGAATGTTATTGAATGTTAGTGATGTGATATAGTTATATACCTATAATTATCAACATGAGGAGTTGGAGAAAGTGGTAAATTGGTTTCTTTTCATCTGTGATTTTACACAGCCATTTTCGAGCAATACTATACACAGTTATTATATATCACACAGTTCATACCACTTTTTTTTAGTGAAAACTCAAAATTAAGAACTAAATCAAGTTTATAGTGCACTCTCAGAAAACAATAGGAGAAAACAGATGTTTACAACGAATACTTACGACAACGATTTAACTTGAACAGGGGAACTCTGAACACCAAAAGGTCTAGGTTTTGCATTGAACTTGTGATCCACCCTTGCAGAATGGGTAGTATCTGTTATAACCACTGGTGACTTTGAACCCATTGATCTGGCTGTATTTCCAGCTTTTCTATAACAAAAAATATATAGCTCTGGCCAAACAGGACACAGGATGAAAATTAGTTTTCTGTAACAGATCCTTAAAAACCACAGGGCTATGGAAAGTGTAACCTTTCAAATAATCCTCAAAATACTTTTATCAGACATGACAGAATGTTCTGTTCTCGTCATACATGCATATGAGAAGTATTTGAATCTAAAATTTCAAACTAGGAGTTATATTTTGTAAGATCATAGCTACCAATGAAAAGGGGACTAAAATTTCCATTGTAAACCCTGTCTATGAACTGGCAGGTAAATGTTAATATTAGGTTTCTTATTTCCTGACTGACTGACAAACAGCAAATATCTTGTTACAGATAAATTTATATCCACTCTCTAGAGAATGTTTCAACTTTTTTTTCAACTTGAAAGTTAACCCTAAAATATTAACAATTGTGACTAAATTAGGGGCAGAAGTTACCCCTCTTGCTACCAAGAAACATGGCTAATATTTTCTTGCACACAGGGGATGATAGTCTGTTCTGGACTACCTTGCAAGTTGGTTAAATGCAAACTAAGATATGCAGCAAAACACCATAAAATAAAATGGAATTTTCATATTACACGAGTTGCTATGAAGATCTGGAATTACTCAGTATTATTTTAATTTGATAATACCAGAAGAAATTTAAAATTCATAAATTACCAGCCTGTTACTATGGTCGCATTCTAATTGCAACATGTCAGATTAGAATATACTTCCAAATTTGCAACATAATTTACCAAGCCATTGCACAATTTGCTACAGTTTGTGTTCACAAGATAAGATTAAATTTTAAACTTAAAACGACGTGTGCATTACAGATAAACATGCTAATCAATATACAACTATTACAGATGTTTACTAGCGTTTACTATCAAAATATTGCCCAGGTGTGCACTACACTATTTCAGCAAAGTGGCGATATTAAAAATCGATGATTACATCATTCGGAATTCTCATTAGAATTCTCGAGTAAATACTATCGAGACTTCATGGACACCTCAGGAAATCGGCTTTCTATAGCATCCTCAAAGCAGTTGCGCTCTTTTATGTACGTCAAAATCTGAGCTGATGATAAATCGTCGAAATTTATGCATACGGATAGCGATAAATTTTATTGCACAACAAATGTTGCAAATCTTCATACAAAATATTCCACGAAACGGAATGAAATGCATAAAATAGCCGCTGTTTGGTTTCCATACAAAATAACTACAGTTATGTCTATAAGCATTACCACACAGACTAAAGGTCAAGCCAACTGAAGTACGGAGTGGCTTACCTGATCTTTTACAAAAAAATCGCTTCATAAACGGTGCCATAATGCGCTCGTTTGCAAGTCTGTTTTAAAAGGAAGAAAATTAAGCGACTTCCGCATAAACCTACCTAACAAGTCTAAGTTTTAGTGTATCTTTCGATGACTTTATTAAATTCTGTGCGTCCAAATGCACTAAATGTTCCGTCGACTCTTGGTTTATTTCGTCTATGAAGTCGCCTTCCAAGATCCCTTGTAAGTCGGCTTTCCCGCCCGGCGTTACCTTTTAGAGCAAAATAAAAGCGAAAATGTCAACAGCTGTGTGTAAATATGCTAGACAAATGTTGTTTCGACGATTAAACGCGGCAAACATTGTATATCGCAAAACAGACGTACAGTGCTAACACCATACATGGGATAGTCTGTCTACAAAGCGCTATCGTTGCCTATGTTTTAAAACGTCAAACTCACCCTTGCTATAGACAATGCTGTCCCAAAATCCTTCCCGCCTTGCAAACGAAAGCCCCAAGGACCTCCACCGGTTAAATTTACAACGTATTCGCCTGCCATTTTGAAGAGAAGGACGAAAAAATCAAAATATAAAGCTAGCAAAGATTAAATGTCCTAGGCTCAGAGCACTCGCAAGCGTCGCGCGTGATTGTTTATCATTCTCTTCAGACTTTTCTCGCAATCCGATTGGACGATAAACAATAGAATGATTAACGTCGGCAGCTGATTGGATGAGGCATGAAGGGCGAATAACATATCGCTAGCTTAGATTATATATTTCTATTTTCTTTTAAACGTACCTTGAAATTAATTCGCTCCTCGATACTCTTCCACGTTTGGAACTAACCACACAAAGGAATGGCAACAAAAATCAGTAGAGCTTGAAAATTAATTACCGACCTGTCTGGAGTTTGTAACAAAAATGTGTCTGTAACCCTCGGCCCATGATAGTTTACACGAGACGGAAATTCCGAAAGCTTGTTCAAATTTACCAAATTTGGTAATAAATTGTACTCGGATATAAAGCATTTGTCAACAGTATTAAGTTAATCATATATTCAGGGATATTACCTGCTCGCAAATATTTCCTGTTGAATACTGCACAGAAGAGTCTAGATGGAAAAATAGTTTAAATAAACAGGAACATTTTTTGCGACATTCGTCGCGTAGCAGAAAACCCTGTTATACGAGCCCTAATCAGTGGCCCTAATTTATTCCACATCTGTTTTACATTTGTTGCGACATTAACAGTGTGATTACTGATTTACACGTTGTTTTTGGCGTGGTGTAAAAAAGTCGTTTCTCACGAATAAATAATCATACAAGGACATCTTAAAAACTGGTTGGCCGCTGGCAATTATCTTTTTATTCATAACTGAGTTGCGAAAACTAACTTGAAAATGGCAAATGTCACCTGTACGCAAGAGGAATTATTTTACAATTGGCTAGACCTGAAACAAAGGTTATTTGCGTATGGAAGCGTAATTGACAGGTTGGCAACGAATTTCCGGATTGCGCCTTGAAAAGTAATATGAAATCGACAATAAGGGCAGCAAACGCGGCGTATCGTTACCCCATGAGGTATACCGAGAGATCAGAATAGTTAAAATTTTAAATGCTCACAAACGGTACTTTTAGAACTTATGCTTATTCCCTTGTTTCATTGCTTAACGCAGTAAATAAGCCCGGGCCCCGTGCCTGGGTACGAAGCGAAGGTCTGTGTTGAGGTTAGTGCCTACGTGGGCAATTACCCCACCGTCTCCGTCTCCGTCTCCGTATCGTTGGACAACTGTGGGAGTGACTGAGCGAGTAGCCTGCAACGCAGACTATATATTGGAGTATATATACCCCAATATATAGTCTGCGTTGCAGGCTACTGAGCGAGTGGTGTCGATAATTATTCGTTTTATTATGTAAAAACCTTTAAAATAATTTCAATGACAGATTTGCATTTTGAAATATTTATTCGAAATGAATTAATGACCAATAGAATTTTTATTCAGATTTTAGGTCGGTTTAATACTACAGTTTTATTAACACCACGGAAAAACGTCTGCGCTGACTGCGCATGCATGAACTTTAAACAATGCATTCCAGAAACTGAGAATAAAAACGGCCACAAATTTCAAAAAGTTGCGTGCTACAAAAACGTGAGCTAAAGGTGACTGTTTTAAGCATTTAATATATCGCCGAAAATAAAATTTGTTTGTCAACTATAAGCAAGGGCTCTATATACCGAACTTTGATTTAAAAAAAATGTCGCAGGATACTGGAGAATGAAGTTTTTGTGTTCTCAATAATTGAAATTTAGGACTGTATTTTGCAATTTAAATGGACCGTTAAAGAAGCTTCCTTTTAGAGATTTTTCTTACGGTTTTTCTTACCCGTTTGACCGTTTTTTTCGTGTAAATAACGAATGATGTTAAACTAAAGTGCAATGTGCAAAATGAAACGTATAACGTGGTTTTGCAAACTTAAAAGAATTTATATAATCCTGAATTAATACTAAATTAGTCTAAATACAATTAATTCGATTATCACTGCTGTAGATAGCGCCATAATACTACCTCTGGATGTCTTAAAAAACTGTGGTGAAAGCATTTACCTTTAGGTAATTTCGTAAACATTTTCTAATGATAAGGATGTTCATCGTGAGTTTTCAGTTGCTATTCGGATAACAAATTAAAAAACTTAACAGGGTTTCAATCCTACAGATGCATAAGTTTCTTGTTCGAGTTATGATAAATACATAATTGATTACCATAATAAATTATGGCCATTGCTTTCGAATCTCACGTCACTTTGCGACCACGTGGGCTAAAGTTGAAGCAGAATTTCAGAAAATTGAACGGAAACCACTTGAAAAAAAGTTTTAAGTCCACACACCTTCAATTTCTCAATTATCTTGCAATTTAGAGAATTTTCCTGGTAAATTTTGTTTTATAATTCGTCAAGCGAAGACTAGCCATTAATCGTCCCTTTGTGCAGTTTGAAAAAGAAAAAATGGAATAAAGAGAAGGGTTCAAAATTGATATAATATAAAACATTTCATTCCAAATGACTTTTTAGTCCTTTTACGTACAACGATACAAAATTTGAAAAACTCAACTAGGGCAGAGGCATCACCCCGAATTTTTTTTCTGAGCCCCCTACGGATGCTTCGTGTTCCGTACATTATTATATAGGCAAATAAAAGTGGCCCGATAACACCATGTTCCATTGAAGCGTCATTTGGTGAAAAATTCTTTCCCATACCACTTAAAGTAAGTGGTTTGCCGTAATTTGCCGTAGTTTACCGTAGGTTGCCGAAGTTATGCTTACTGTCAGCATTTCGCCTGAGCAAAAACCCTAGGGAGTGACCTTAAGCTCAGCTATAAGATTTTGCTGTGGCACTTTCTATTTTCGGTTGTCTTGATCAAGACCGTTCATCCAATGTTTCGTACGTCGGTAACGAAAAACCAGATAATTCATGATCCAGTTTGTACAGATTCACAAGTTTATCAAAAAGATTTTTTGGAAGGCTTTTAAAATAACTCGCTGTTGATTTTTTTGTTTTCATTTGCGCATGTTGGATTTTTGGTGAAGAAAATGCTTTTTCCTATCTAGATTGATTTGTTTTCCTAAGTAATTCACGTCTCCTTGAAGATTATGAATTATTCAGGCGAATGTGATGTTACACAGTTTGATCAGAGTATTCAGCGAATTCAAGTTGATCAATTTGGTTCTACATTAATGTTGTAAGCAGGAGAAACACAGAACAGCCCATTTCGAAACCGCTCGACATCTTTTAGTGTAGACTTACTGTGCTCGGCGTGTGCAATTGTATCGGTGTAATGAGCGAAAAGATGAGGATAGCACTTGCTAGCATTTTGATCGCTTTCTTGATTCTTCTATATTGCTTCGAAAGTGAAACGAAATATGCCCAAAGTGAACACATCACGTGATATAATAATAGAGCCAATGTTAGAGTCTTGGTTAACCGCAGGCTAACAACTTACCTGTGCGCAGGCACCGATTAGGGTAATATGGCCTACAGCTAGCGACACTGGGGGTCGACCCGAGAGAAAAATAACAATAAAAATAACCAAGCTGACACTATAGATCGCTGTTGCTACGCGACCAATTACTAATTTGGCTATCTCATTATAAGCTTAAAACCGTGATGCATGTGAAAACAGAAATTTCCCACCATTTTCACCGTTGTTGTTTTGATCTTCGTGGGTGGAATAAAACGAAAGTAATGTTGGAAACTACAAACGAAAACACTTAAAAGCTTTTATAATGGTCTTTCGCGGCTTATTTACTTGTCGTCTTCGCGTGTATTTTTGTCACTCTGAATTTTGTCCATATAATCAAAAGATATAAAACAAGTGGGGCATTTGCCCCTCCCCGCAAATTTTGTTGCCTGCCCCTCCCTGAGATGTTTTTGTATTACGTACATAGCTTATAGTTGCGTGCGACGTTCGCTTCACTTAAATTACGTTCCAGTCCATCTATTCCCCTGAATACTTTTGAACCCAAAATGCCGACATACCCACAACCTCCTCCCCAGGGTTAGAATGTGTTTGGTCTTTCCCATACCCCTTAAAGCAAGAGTCCTCTGGAGTTTTTCTTATCGTTACCATCAACTTGGGGGAAAATTCACAGGGAGTCACCTTACGCTCAACCAAGATTTTGACTGTGAGACTTTCTATTTTCGGTTATCTTGATGAAAACCGTTCATGCAATGTTTCGTACGTCGGTAAAGAAAAACCAAACAATTCATAGTCAGGTTTGTACAGATTCACAAGTTTATCAAAAAGTTTTTTTGGAAGGCTTTTAAAATAACTCGCTGCTAAATTTTTTGTTTTCATTTGCGGCATTTTGGATTTCTGATGAAGAAAATGCTTTCTCCTATCTAGATTGATTTGCTTTCCTAAGTAATTCACGTCTCTTTGAAGATTATCAATCGAACCAATAAAATTGTAGTGAACATCACACGGTCTGCACAGTGTGTTGAATTGAAGAAAATGATCATTTAAATCCAGTGGCAATTCATCAGTGATGTGGCGTATATACTCATGGAAAGTCACATTCTGTACTTTAACGGACTCTTTATTTGTAGGATAATTTCGATATGCTCTCACGTGTGTAGCAACTGTTTCAAACCATTGGCTTGTAACTATCTTTCCTTCAAATTTGTTTTTCCAAGCAGACAACAGCCGTTCCAAAGGATCTCGAACAATCATAAACTTGTAAAAGTTCTTCAACATACTGTGACGCTGCTCTTCGCTATATCTTCTGTTACTTAATGCTACCAGGCTTTTGTGAGAATGAACTAGTTCGTTGTCCAACTGTGTAATACTCGTATTTTCATTGTTCAACACAACGAATATCTTTTTGAATTGAGTACAGGCAATTTTCGGTATGTAGCAATACATAACCCTGCGAGCTTCATCGACGACCATGTGTGTATAAAGAATTCGAAGCATCTTTCTTTTCATCATTACTTCTTCGGGCACTTTAGAGTGATTAGACTTTCCAAAGATTGTGGTAAGGTTTAATTTTCGGCAAACCTTCCTAACTTGTTCTTTCCTTGTCGTGCTGCTCTTCAGTGCCTTTGAAATAGATTTGAAAATAATCGAAAAAGTCCAAAGCATTAAGCGTGGGGCCTAGATTTGTCTAAATTCTGGAAAATCGCGGTATAGCAGCAAATAAAGAGTAAAGCATTGCCCGCATC